ACTAGAGAAAGCCCACACGCAGCAACAAAGACCCAATGCAGCCAAAAATAAAATAATTAAATAAATAAAATTTTTAAAAAATGCTAGATGGACTTCCCTGGTGGCACAGTGGTTAAGAATCTGCCTGCCAATGCAGGGGACATGGCTTCAAGCCCTGGTCCGGGAAGATCCCACATGCTGCAGAGCAACTAAGCCCATGCGCCACAACTACTGAGCCTGTGCACCACAACTACTGAAGTCGTGCGCCTAGAGTCCATGCTCCGCAACAAGAGAAGCCGCCACAATGAGAAGCCCGTGCACTGCAACAAAGAGTAGCCCCCGCTCGCCGCAACCAGAGAAAGCCCATGTGCAGCAACGAAGACCCAATGCAGCCAAAAATAAATTTAAAAAAAAATGACTAGACATGTGAAGGAGGAGGAAAATGTGATTTACAACCAGAGAAAAAGCAGTCAACAGAAACAGACCTGCCAAACTCATCAAAATGTATGCATTAAATATATACTGTTCTTTGTATATCAATCATACCTTAATAAAGCAGCTTTAAAACAACAAAAAAAAGAAATAGACCTGGAAATGACAGAATCAGAAGAGAAAGTTTTTTAAAAAGCTGTTGTAAAATGATATATTCAAATATATAAAGGAAAATATATGTGTAATAACAGAAATGGCAAGTATAAAAAAAAAGAAACAGAACTTCCTGATAAGAAAATTTCTTAAATCAAAGATTCACTAAAGGAGATTAAGATTAAATTAGACAACAAGGAAGAAAAGACTTGAAGATAAAGTAATAGAAACTATCCAAATGGAAGCGTAGAAAGAAAATTTCTGACAAAATAATAAGCAGAGCCTCAGTGATCTGTAGGAAAATATCAAGCTAACACACATATATGATTGGAGTCCATAAAAAGAACAAAAGAGAGCAAAAAAAAAATTTGAAAAACTGGCTGAAAAATTACAAATTTGATGCAAACTATAAACTAACAGTTCCCAGAAGCTCAATGAGCTCCAAACAGAAAACACACAAAAAACACACATGAGGACACATAATTAAGTTGTTAAAAATCAAGTTGCTGTGGACTTCCCTGGTGGAGCAGTGGTTGAGAATCTGCCTGCCAATGCAGGGGACACGGGTTCGAGCCCTGGTCCAGGAAGATCCCACATGCCGCAAAGCAACTAAGCCCTGCGCCACAACTACTGAGCCTGCGCTCCGGAGCCTGCGAGCCACAACTACTGAGCCTGTGTGCTGCAACTACTGAAGCCCGTGCACCTAGTGCCCATGCTCCACAACAAGAGAAGCCACCACAGTAATAAGCTGCGTACCGCAACGAAGAGCAGCCCCCGCTCACCACAATTAGAGAAAGCCCGCGTGCGGCAATGAAGACCCAACACAGCCAAAAATAAATAAATTTTTTAAAAAATCAAGTTGCTAAATGGAAACCTTAGAAGCAGCAAAAATAAACAAAGCCACTTATATACAGAAGAACAAAGATAAGAATTACCACTAATTTCTCATCAGAATCAATGCAAGATGGAAAACAACAGGACATCTTTAGTGATGAAAGAAAAAAAGAAGTCAACCTAAAACTTTATATCCAACAAGAATATCCTTCAAAGATGGAAGTGAAATAAAGATATTTTCAAAGAAACAAAAACAGAAAATTCATCACCATCAGCAAACCTGCACTGTAAAAAATGTTAAAGAGGGCTTCCCTGGTGGCACAGTGGTTGCGAGTCTACCTGCCGATGCAGGGGACACGGGTTTATGCCCCGGTCTGGGAAGATCCCACATGCCGTGGAGCGGCTGGGCCCGTGAGCCATGGCCACTGAGCCTGCGCGTCCGGAGCCTGTGCTCCGCAAAGGGAGAGGCCACAACAGTGAGAGGCCCGTGTACCACAAAAAAAAAAAAAAAAAAAAAAAAGTTAAAGAAAGTTCTTCAGGCAGAAGAGAAATGATACCAGATGGAAATCTGCATCTACATATAGTGAAGGGCATTGGAAATGGTAAATATATGGACTAACTATAAAACTTTTTCTCATATTTTAAAATGTTTAAGATAAGCAATGATTTAGACCTAAAACAATAACAACAATATATTCAGAGACTTATGTCATACGTAGAAGTAAAATTTTTGATAATAGCACAAAGGACAGGAGGCAGAAAACAAAAGAATACTCATGTAGGCTCTTACATTAAACATGAAATAGTACAATATTATTTGAAATTCTTTGTGATAAGTTAATGAAACAGGGTATACACACTTGAATAGTCCTTAAAATGGAATACTGAAGAAATTCCCTGGTGGTCCAATGGTTAGGACACAGCACTTTCACTGTCAGGGACCTGGTTAGATCAGGGAACTAAGATCCCACAAGCCATGCTGCGCAGCCAAAAAACAAACAAACAAAAAATAAAAAATAAATAAAATGAAAACTAAGACTTCTTTGAGATACCAGTGACACCCACTTAAAAAAAATGGAATACTGAAAAAATACATGATTAATCCAAAAGAAGACAGGAAAAGAACAGATGGGACAAGGAGACAACTAATAGCAAGATAGTAAATTTAAATCCAACCATATCACTAATTACATTAAATCTGAATAGTCTAAACAGTGCAATGAAAAGAAGGAAATTTTTAGACTAGATAAAAAAGCAACACTCAATTATTTGCTGCTTTCAAGAAACTCACTCTAAATACAAAAACACAAATGTGGTGAAAGTAAAAGAATGAAAAAGGGAAAAAACACACCATGTAAAAACTCACTGTAAGACACTTGGAATGGCTATAGTAATATTAGACAAAACAGACTTCAAAACAAAGAAGGACAACAAAATAAATAATGATAAAGGAGTCAATTATTTTTAAAAAACCTAAATGTGTATGTACCTCCAAATAACAGAGCTTCAAAATATATGAAGCAGAAACTCACAAAGCAGGAGGAGAAATAGACAAATCCATGTCTAGAGTTGGTGATCCCGACACTCTTCTCTCAGTAATTTATACAAGTAAACAGAGTATCTGTCAGGATACATAAAACTTGAACAGTGCTGTCAACCAAGTTATATAATTGACATCCACCCAACAACAGTAAGATACACATTGCTTTCAAGTATATATGGAACATTCAGAAAAACAGACCATAAACCATAACCTAAAACTTAATCACTTTCAGATAATTTCAATTACAGAAGTTCTCTGATCACAGCAAAATTAAATTAGAAATTGAAATTAGAAAGTTACCTGGAAAATCTCAAATTATTTGGGAGCTGAGAAACATACTTCTACATAAGCTACGGGTCAAAGAAAAATCAGAAAAGAAAATTTTAAATATTCTGAATGGAATAAAAACAAAAACATATCAAAATTTGTGTGACGCAGCTAAAACAGTAATTAGAAGAAAGTTTATAGCTTTAAATATTTATATTAGAAAAGAAGGGAAGTATGAAAATCATACTAAGCTACTAAGCTACTTCTACCATAAAAAGCTGGAAAAAGAAAAGCAAAATAAATCCAGGCTAAGTAGGAGGACAGAAAGAATAAAGATATTAGCAGAAATAAGTGCAATAGAAGACAAACAGTAGAGAAAAAAAATCAATGAAACCAAAAGCTAGTTTTCTGAAAAGATCAAGGCAAAATGAGAGAAGACATAAATCATCAATTTCAGGTCTAAAAGAGTGAGCATCAGTACAGAACCTACAACATCAGAAGAGTAATAAAGTAATATTATGAATAACTTGATGTCAATAAATGTGACAACTTATATGAAACAACAAATTCCTTGAAAGATGTAGATTACCAAAACTGACTCAAGAAGAAATAGAAAGGTTGACTAGTTCTATAACCTTAAAGAAGTTGAATACAGCATCAAACTGTATACTTAAAATGAAAACATTTTATTGTTATGTAAATTATTCCTTAATGAAGTTAATCTAAAAGGTTAAAAAAAAAAAGCAACAAGACTAAACTATAGGGTCCAGGAGTGCACTGTGTCAGGGACAAAACTACAAAGAAAGAATGGAAGTGAACACCCTGTTTGTGTGGGTCGTGTGTGTCTGGAGCTGAGGAAGTGGTGATTCTGAAGGGGCATAGGGAAGGGCCCCCCAGGGAGCGTTAGTCACCGGCCAGGCAATGATTACAAGGAGGTGCCTCTTACAGTAATTCGTTAAACCACACGTTCGTTGTGTGGTCTTCTGCATCTGTGCGTTATTTTACAATACAAAAACACTATTTGGGGTTTCTTTTCTTTTTTAAAGATAAAAGTTTAAACACTAGGTTTAAGAACCAAAACTTTTCTTTTGTCGAAAACTAACTCTTCTGAGCTCTCCCCATAACTGTCAGAATCACCTCCACAGAAGCCACTTGGCATCTTAGCATCTCCTATGAAACAATGTTACACCGTCTTGGAGGATGAAGCATCACATTCATGTTCTATGAAGCTCTCTTGGCGGGGAGGGGGCAGCAAGTGAGAGAGTGCTTTAAATGAAATATTCTGAAGTTCAAGTTAAATGACATGGATATTTAATAAATGCAGTCACACAATTTAAAAATGAATACATCTAAAACATGTATTTATATATAAAATGATCAACAGATGTGTATACAGCTACTAGCAAGTGGCTTAGCTTGAACCGCACCAAACATCACCGTGTCTCTTAAGAGGCAGGGCACGCAGTGGCTAACAGAATGGGATCTGGAGTCAGACCGCCTGGTGCAAACCCAGGAGCTCTGAAGCCTCGGTCTCCACGACTGCAACACTGCTCCCTCAAGTTGCCGTGAGGACCAACTGACCCGACACGGGCAAAGCAGGAAGAGCTGCAGCACACCTGGCACGGGCAAAGCAGGAAGAACTACAGCACACCTGGCACGGGCAAAGCAGGAAGAACTACAGCACACCTGGCACAGGTAAGCACTTCCTCAGCCTTAGCAGCCACCGGTGTCTCCATCCTGAGCGAATGCCAATGGTGTTCTTCAGGGAAAAAGAGAAAAAAGCACCTCTCACCCTCCTTTATGCTTCTTCTTCTTTGGGGTGTCTTCTTCTGAGGTCCTCCTGCCACGACCCCGGGAGCCCCTCTTTTCTTTCTGACCTCGACCTTCTGAAACAATAAAGACCACAACTTTGTTCACAGATTTCACTGAAGCAGGACAAGATTTACCCAAATATGATATTTACCATAATGTTCCTAATACACTTATCAGACAAAATTCTTCAGAACTCCACAGTTAACAATAACAAAATGAAGAAAAATTAACAGACTTGCTTTTTAGCCCCCGTCCTCCAGAGCTTTCGAAGTCGCTGCCCTCCATCTTGTCCTTCAGGTCCGCCTCGAAGCGAGCCAGGTCCGCATCAAGCCTCCGGATGTGCTTATCCACCTACACAGAAGGATGCTCACACATTCCGTTCGAAACTCAGAGCAAAACGCCTCAGGGTCACAAATGCTCCTGACGTCAAGCAGAAAGCACTGTCTGGCCCTTAAATTGAGTCTAGAAGTAACAACACTCTGCTAGAACTAGGCCTGCTATTTCCAACTTGATGCAAGGGTCTTTTTTCCCCACATTCTGTTCCCCATCAACAGAATAAATCCTACTCAGGGAAAAAACCTTGAAGGCAGGCAACAATGAGAAACAGAGCCGTAAGATGCACTGAAGTAAAGGGCTGAGGACCTTGGGTACTAGATCCTGACGTAAAATGTGAAGAGCTATAGGTTCGTCAACAGAAAATGACATTTGAAGATGGAGTTCAGGACGGAGCTGGAAGGAAGGACCGCACAGAACTGCCCGTGACAGAGGGGATGCTCCTGTAGCTAAAAGGACGTCACGAGACACAGCACCAGCTGGCTGGTGACAGCCGTCCAACACCGTCCATCACAGCCCCCGACTGGAAATGAACCACAGTCCTAAGCTTCATTACACGTCAGAGAGAAAACGGACTGTCTTAAGGACGTTGATCACACCTAACTCCTTGGAAGACAGGCTGATTAGTCAAAGGATTTAGCACTTTGGAGCATCGAAGTCCCAAACATAGCATTAAGGTCTCCTCCTAGAGGATTCTTTCTCAAACACAACTGATTTCACGCTTTAAAAAAATCACTGTTTAGGGCTTCCCTGGTGGTGCAGTGGTTGAGAGTCCGCCTGCCGATGCAGGGGACACGGGTTCGTGCCCCGGTCCGGGAAGATCCCACATGCCACAGAGCGGCTAGGCACGTGAGCCATGGCCACTGAGCCTGCGCGTCCGGAGCCTGTGCTCCACAACGGCAGAGGCAATGGCAGTGAGAGGCCCGCGTACCGCAAAAATAAATAAATAAATCACTGTTTAGGGCTTCCCTGGTGGTGCAGTGGTTGAGAGTCCGCCTGCCGATGCAGGGGACACGGGCTCGTGCCCCGGTCCGGGAAGATCCCACATGCCAAATCACTGTTTAGGGCTTCCCTGGTGGTGCAGTGGTTGAGAGTCCGCCTGCCGATGCAGGGGACACGGGCTCGTGCCCCGGTCCGGGAAGATCCCACATGCCACAGAGCGGCTAGGCACGTGAGCCATGGCCACTGAGCCTGCGCGTCCGGAGCCTGTGCTCCACAACGGCAGAGGCAATGGCAGTGAGAGGCCCGCGTACCGCAAAAATAAATAAATAAATCACTGTTTAGGGCTTCCCTGGTGGTGCAGTGGTTGAGAGTCCGCCTGCCGATGCAGGGGACACGGGTTCGTGCCCCGGTCCGGGAAGATCCCACATGCCACAGAGCGGCTAGGCACGTGAGCCATGGCCACTGAGCCTGCGCGTCCGGAGCCTGTGCTCCACAACGGCAGAGGCAATGGCAGTGAGAGGCCCGCGTACCGCAAAAATAAATAAATAAATCACTGTTTAGGGCTTCCCTGGTGGTGCAGTGGTTGAGAGTCCGCCTGCCGATGCAGGGGACACGGGCTCGTGCCCCGGTCCGGGAAGATCCCACATGCCGCGGAGTGGCTGGGCCCGTGAGCCATGGCCACTGAGCCTGCGCGTCCGGAGCCTGTGCTCCGCAATGGGAGAGGCCACAACAGTGAGAGGCCCGCGTACCGCAAAAAAACAAAACAAAACACTGTTTTATTGGGGGAGGCAAGGACGGGAGCCTCACTACACGACCTCATGTGCGTCGCAGAACGGCTTTGTGCCACCTTGCAAACCCCAAGAGAAGCGGAATTGAAAGGAAATTGGACAAAACCAATTCTAGGACTTTACCTAAAGCTGACAAAAACAAGCATTAAAAGTACATATAAATGAACAAGCAAAATGGGCACAGGACACAAGACCACAGAAATGGTTCCAGGACGAGGACTCCTCCAACGTGCACCTTCTCTAGCGGCATCGCTCTATCGCAGCCCGGCCTCCACCTCGAGGCCCCGTTTCCCGAGCAGCCTCCCCCTTGCTGCGTGAAAGCAAGGAGCTCGTCCGAGGGGAGGCCCCGCCCCCCCCCCGCCCCCCCCCCCCCCCATCTCGTAGGTCTGCATGGCCAGCTGCACCTTGTCGTCGCTGTACTCCCTGCACTTGCTGTAGGCGCTCTGGATCCTCTGCAGGTGCTCCACGCGCTGACCCGGAGACAGAGTCTTCACCGTGGAGATATACTCTGCAGCCAGGATGTCGATCTCGGCTTTCTTGTCTGATAGAGTAATGAGCAAAAAGCCAGGACACGCTCACCAGACTGGCAACCAATAAAGTCTGACAACGACAAGTGCCAGCAAAGAAGTGGCTGGCCCAAACTGGCCGCCGGTGGCGGGCACAGCCTTCCCAAACACTTTGGATCAGGGAGACAAGCACACACCCCGACCAGGGCAGTGCGCCCACGACAGTCCCAACGTATGACGCTGCCCCAGCAAGGGTTCATCGTGCCCTCTTGGACTCTCAAGTTTGAAGAGTCCATTTATTATTGTTTGAATAATAAATGATGTGCTCACCTTACCTATGACCCGGCAGGCTACTCTCAGGTACATACCCTAAAGATTTAGAGGCCAGGGTACACACGGGAAAACATTCATAACTGCAGATAACAGAAAACAACCCAAACATTCAATCTACAGTAAAACAGATAAATAAGCTGTGGTCCGTTCACACAACAGAACGCTGCCCAGCAACAAAAAAAACAAACAACATCGGTTAATCCCACAAAAGGTGGCACTGAGCGAGAAAAGCAAAACACAAAGGAAAACACACTGTATGATTCCATTGATGTTAAAGGCAAAGACAGACGCAACTCTTAACTCTTTGGTTTAGAGAGGTGAGAAAACCATTCTTGCAGGTGAAAACTCAGGGTGTACCCCTTGGGGAAGGGGGGCCTGCTCATGAGGATCACACAGGCCCCCAGGCACTAGAGGCTCCATTTCTCCATCTGCAGAGAGGTTCTCCAGGTGCTATTTGCTAAGCAATCTACAAATGTTTATGCTTATTTCTGAATACAAATGCTTTATCTCACCATAAAAGAAATCTCTGCATTCACTAGTCAGGAAGCTGTTCCTTAGTGAAAAACCACAGCTATTCCAATCTTGCAAAACATGTGCCCAGCACAATGAGTGAAAAAGTGCCCATACCCAAGCACACCGCCATGAAATGTAAAACCTCAGGGATAAAGAGAAAAGCCTAAAAGCTTCTAAACAGGAAAGGGAAAAAAAGATCACATATTCAAAGGATGAGAAACCCAAATGACATCAGACTTCTCAACAGCAACACAGAAGCTAGGAGACAATGCAGCAACGCCTGCCACATTCTGGGGGAAATGCCTGTCAATCTGGAATTCTATACCCAGCCAAACCATTCACTGCTGCATTTTCAGACATGCAATGGTGTAAGAAATTTACCCTGCCGTAAATTTCTTTCTGGAAGCTCCCAGAGAAAAGGCTCCTCTGAAACAAACGGGCAAATCAAGAAGTAGTATGTTTACAGCCTAGGAAACAGGGCTCCAAGCCGAAGAGGAGCAAAGGGAGAGCCTAGGAAGACCTAGGGCAAGGCGTGCGCGGCAGGCCCGGAAACTGTCGGCCCGCGAGGCTCCAGGAGAGAGGTCTCCATGGAGAGCACACACAGAATTGGCAGGTAACCTGGTGCAGCAGGCACACTGAAAACGAGGAAAACAAAACCAACAAGAAAAGCAATTAAGAACGCCAAGAAAAAGACAGTTACTCCAAACAGGGCATGTGAGCATAGCATACGGTAAACTACCGACACAGCAGCCCAGGAAAGAAAGAGCATCACTGGACAGCACAGCATCACCACAGTTCAAATTCTAGTCCATTACACCCAGGAGACGGGGGGAGGGAGCTGTGTGCGCATGAACCGAGCAGGGCACAACTGGAGATGTAAATCTTCACTTTTTGTAATAACTGAATAGATAAAGTCTAAAACCAAAAGGAAATAAAGTAAGAAATAGCAGCAAAAATGAACTGTTTAGAAATAGGGAGTTAAATACCAAAAGATCTAAAAGGACTAACTGTTTAAAATAGGTACACAGTTTGAAAATAGAAAATCTTTTAAAGGAAAGAAAAGGTAACAAATATTTTGACTGCGGGAGGGGATGACAATTATAAAGGTGTGACATGGAGACGTGTAGGGACATAAGGGACTAAGTTTACTTTAAAGACCCAGCACTAGGGGCTTCCCTGGTGGTGCAGTGGTTAGGAATCCACCTGCCAGTGCAGGGGACAGGGGTTTGAGTCCTGGTCCAGGAAGATCCCACACGCCACGGAGCAACAAAGCCCACGTGCCACAACTACTAAGCCTGCGCTCTAGAGCCTGCGAGCCACAACTACTGAGCCCACAAGCCACAACTACTGAAGCCCGTGTGCCTAGAGCCCGCGCTCCACAACAAGAGAAGCCACCGCAATGAGAAGCCCACGCACTGCAACGAAGAGCAGCCCCTGCTCTCCACAACTAGAGAGAAGCCCGCGCGCAGCAACGAAGACCCAACGCAGCCAAAAAAAAAAAAGGACTCAGCACTCTCTCTGACACACTACCCAACACCTGTGGCCCAGGCTGGACAGCAGCCCCACTGCCCCAGGTCCCTGGAAGACCAGTACCCACCCCCAGGATCCCGGTGCTCCGCTCCTGGACTTGGGGAGCTGCTCCCCACACCCTGGCTCTTCTGAAAGTTCTGAACCCACCTTCTGTCCTCTGGTCCAGCTCTCGCATCAGCTGGAAGTTCCTCTGAAGCTCACAGGGTAGGTTCTCAATACCTGAAACACAGACACATGCTTCTCAACAGCAGGACAAAACCCCACCTTCCAAGCTTCATACTTCAAGGCTACAAACAATAAGCCCACTCTGGCTTCTGTTTCTCTTAGAGTTTGGAGAGCAGAAGAATCAAGGTATCTTTTTTCAGGGACACGAGCCCAACATTGAAGACAGTGGGGAATCCAGCCCTCCCCTATTTCACACTGGTAATCGGCTGACGCGCTTCAGAACTTGTCAGAAACTCGAGAAGCTAGAGGCGAACAGAGGGCAGAGGGAGGAAGGTGCCTGTGCGACTCTCCCACCGCAGACCCCAGGCCGCTCCTCCCCTGCAGACGCCCCACCACAGAGAACAAGCCCAAACCCCGGGGTCCTCCTTGCCCTCCTCCCACTCTACTCTGAACTCAGGGCCTTGGGCGGTGCCCACCAGGGCTGTGCGGTAGAACTTTATGCCAAGACAAAGCCTCCCGACACAGCGCGCACTGGCCACACGGGGCTACTGAGCACCTGACATGGGGCCAGTACAACTGAGGGACTGAACTTCTCATTTTACTTGAGTTTATTTAAAATCAAACAGACTGTGCGGGACAGCAGAGGTAAGGACCCTGCCCCACACTGCTCTCCTGTCCGCATGGCCAGGCTCCTGGTCCAGGCCAAGCTCCCCACCTGCCCGCAGCCAGGACGGGCCCCCTCCACAGATGACCACTCCAAGAGCTCTGATTGTACAAAGCTGCTGCGTAAGCCCCAGGGCTTCCCAGCTCACACAGAGGGCGGCACAGACCCACCCATGGCCTCCCCGTGGGCTCCCCTGCTGTCCTACCAGGGCTCTCAAGATAGTGCCACCCCTGCACTCTCAGACCTGCTGGGCTCCTTTGTGACCTTTAAACTTTTGTGAACTTTTAAAAACTCTATCTCTTCCATTTGAGAGCCAGTTCCAGGAAAACAGGGATCATGTCTGCTTTCTTGGCACACAGCAGGTGCTCAGGGAGTGAGCAGGGGCCTCCGTCCGCAAGCCTTCACATGGGTGTCCCTCACAGGACAGGAATCGTGTTCCTCAGACCCTCCTCCTGGGGCCCCCTGGGCAGGCACCGGGTCAGAGGAGGGCAAGCCACAGCACCCAGAACAGGTACCTGGGTGTAGGTCTCTCCAGTGACGATGGTGGGGAAGCCCCTCCCTCCACGGTGCTCTCCGGCCCAGGACGCTGTGCTCAGGTTGGGCCATGCCTGGGAGACCCCCTTGGGGAGGGCTGGATCCCCACTGCCTTCCCCGGAGCCGGGGTTCACTCCCTACTCTCAGCAACCTCGGGTGGGGTCTGGCCGCCCAGGCCCGGATGAGTGAAAATCCCCAGTGCAGCACAGGGCTCCAGAGTTACCAGGCAAAATCCCCACCAGCCCGCATCCCCAGGCTATGCCCCCGCCAGGGCCAGACTGGAGTCGGACCGCAGAGCTCAAACGTGGGATCGCCACTCTCCAGTGAGTGACCTTGACAAGCTACTTAGCCTCTGGCGCATCACCCCCGCTGTGAGATGCGGCAAATAACCACTTGCTCAGGAGTCCTCCAGAGGGTGCAACCTGTGGCACGCCTCGGGACGTTGGCCCACTCTTATGACCACTGCCTTGAACACCCTACCCACACGTCTAAGTACCGCCCCCAACCCCCTGCGCAAAGACAGGTGCCCTCAGAGACCCTCCGCGCCATCATGCCTTGCAGATGCACGAACTGAGGCTTGGAAGCGGACTCCCAGGTCACAGCACAAACAGGCACAGAACCCAGAACCCTCAGGCACTGGGCCCCCCAAACCCGGCCCAGAGTCCCAAGGGACTGAGACTCGACCACCTTAGTGGGTCACCGCGGTGGGGGCGGGTCCGGGGATGGGCGGGACGGGACTCGGAGGGGCGGGGCCTAGACAGAGAGGGCGGGGCCAGGGCGGAGAGGGCGGGCCCGACGACGAAGTCGGCGGGGCCTAGTGAATGAGGGGCGGGGCCCAGCCAAGGAAGACGGGTCCTAGGGAGGAGAGAGTGGGGCCTATGGCGAAAGTGGGCGGAGCTGAGCCTGGGAGGGTGGAGCCGAGCCGCGCTGGCCCCGCCCAGCACCCGCCGGCCCCCGCCCCGCCGTGACGCACCTGGAATTGGCGCGGCCGTGACGGCGGGACCCCGCGCCGCACCCCCCGTGCCCCTCCCTCGTGGGCCCTCCCGCCCCGCGCGTGCCTCAGCCGCTCCCGCCGCCTCCGGGCCGTCCCGCCGCCCCCACGTGCCCCGGGGTCCGCACGCGGAGCCTAGTGCGCGGGGCGTGGGGGGGCGCGGCGGGTGCGGCCCGGCCAGGGCGGTGGGCCTAGGGGGCGCGGGGGGCGCTTACTGTCCAGGTAGTGCTCCAAGTACATGGCGGTCGCCATCTTCGTCCGCGGCCGCGCTCTGGGTCTGCGCGGGCGGTGGCCCCGCGAGAGGCGGAGGCGGGGCCGGCGTGGTCACTATTAATGAGCCCTGCGCGCTTATTGGTCGCCTTCAGGGGCGGGGCGCCGTCTGAACCCGCCCCACGGCTTCCGGTCGGGGCCGCGCGAGGTGTCGCGCGGGAGCTGGGCGGTCCCGGCGGGGCGGGCGGAGCAGGTGTCTGGTAGCGGGGAGGTGGAGCGCGTCCCGACCCCGAGGAGGAGCGGCCTCCGGGGCCCCGCGGACCCAGACTCCTGCGATTCCGGGGGTCGGCGGGGGCAGTCGTTCATCACTGAAAATGCACGTTTAAAGGTACACCCTCCTCCGTGAACTCTTCACTAAATCCCGGGCAGATGTTTAAGAGTGGAAACACGTTCATTGTTTTGCCAATTTTATCTTCATTGTAGAAATTCAAACTGTACAGGAATTTACAGTTTCCCAACCTCCCGAAGTTAAAGGACTGTGATTATCTTGCTCACCTTTCAATCTAAATGATAGCAGTTTCGGTGCAACCTTTCTGGCCCCATTTAATGCTTGATGTGAAAATGCACACACGCGCGCTCGCGTACATAATTGCACACTACCCACCTTTTTATTGTTTTAAGTAGATAAGTGTTTTTATTATTAGACTTTAGAGCAGTTTTTGGTTTTCAGAAAAATCGAGAAGCAAATACAGAGTTCTTATACACCCCCTCCACATATACACACGGTTTCCTTTATTATAAACATTTTCCATGGGTGGGGTACATTTATTAAAATTGATGAAGCAATACTGATACATTATTATTAACTAAATTCCATGGTTTACATTACGAATCATTCTGTGTTGTACAATTATGTTAAGTATCCACCATTACAGTATCATACAGGATAGCTGCACTGCCCTAAAAATCGTCTGCTTCTCCTATTCATCCCTCTCCCTGCCCCCGAACCCCTGGCAAATACTGATCTTTTCACTGTCTCTAGTTCTGCATTTTCCAGAATGTCATATAGTTGAAATCATACAGTATGTAGCCCTTTCAGATTGACTTCTTTCACTTAGTAATAGGCATTTTAAGTTTCCTCCATTCCTTTTCGTGGCTGGATGGCTCATTTCTTCTTAACGCTAAAGAATATTTCATTGTCTATGTGTTCCACAATTTATCCATTCACCTATTATTTAGTTACCTATTTTTGGCCATGCCGCGCAGCACACGGGATCTTAGTTCCCCACCCAGGGATTGAACCCGCACCCCCTTCGGTGGAAGCACAGAGTCTTAACCACTGGACCACCAAGGAAGTCCCTCCATTAACCTACTGAAGACATGTTGGTTGCATCCAAGTTTTGTCAATTATGAATAAAGCTGCTATAATCATTCGTGTTTTGGTTTTCGTGTGGACATTTTTTTAAACTCCTTTGGGTAAATACCAAGAACTGTAATTGCTGGGTCACACTGTAAGAAACTGCCAAACTGGGACTTCCCTGGAGGCACAATGGTTAAGAATCCACCTGCCAATGCAGGGGACACGGGTTCGAGCCCTGGTCCAGGAAGATCCCACATGCCGCGGAGCAACTAAGCCCCTGTGCCACAACTACTGAGCCTGCGCTCTAGGGCCCGCGAGCCACAACTACTGAAGCCTGCTCACCTAGAGCCCATGATCCGCAACAAGAGAAGCCACCGCAATGAGAAGCCCGTGCACCACAACAAAGAGTAGCCCCCGCTTGCCACAACTAGAGAAAAGCCCAAGCATAGCAACAAAGACCCAATGCAGCCAAAAATAAATTATTTTAAAAAAAGAAAGAACCCACCAAACTGTCTTCCAGAATGAGCTGTACTATTTTGCATTTCCACCAGCAATGAATAAGAGTTCCTGTTGCTCCACATCCTTGCTCCACATCCTTGCCAGCATTTCGTGTTGTCAGTGTTTTGGATTTTGGCCATGCTAATAGACATGTAGAGGTATCTCATTTTATTTCCAATTCCCTAATGACAAGTGATGTTGGGCACCTTTTCACATGCATATTTGCTACCTGTACATCTCTTTGGTGAGGTGTCTGTTCAGATCTTTTGCCCAGTTTTTAAATTGAGCTGTTGGTTTTCTTAATTGGTGTCACACTATCCACTTTTCTACCATTTACATTTTTAACAATACTCTTCACAATTTCTGGCCATGTTTTACTCAATTTTATGTCATTCTGTTTATTCGATATATTTCACAGTGTTAGTGTACCATACTTTAACAGACTCCTAATAGATGAACAATATTTTGATTGTTCCCAATCTTTCATTACCATAAATAGTGCTCTGGTGAACATTTGTTCACACACCTGTATGTATATGTTCCAGTTATCTACTGCTGCATAATAAAATACCTGAAAACTCTGTGGTTTAAAAGAAGCATTTTATTAGAGCTCACAATTTTTGTAGGTCAGGCATTCTAGCAAGGCTCAGTTAGATGATTCTTCTGTTCTGTGTGATACGGTAGAGATCACTGGTGTGGCTGGAAGGCTGCATTCAACTGGTACCAGGGACCAGAGCACCTACACATTGCCTCTCCAGCCCAGTTGTGCTTCTTATGTGGCTGCTCAGGGCTTCTGGAGATTTCCAGGAGGCCCTGGTGGAAGCTGCCAGACTCTTGTGACCTCACCTTGGTCATCCCAGAACATCACCTCACCACATTCCATTGGTTGAGTCTGGGGCCAACCCAGACTCAAGGGGAGGGGAAAGTAGACCCCCACCTCTCAATTGGAGGAGTAGCGCAGTTGTGGCCATCTTAACCTACCACATTGTCTTATTAGTTCTTTTTTTTTTATATATATTTATTTATTTGGCTGCGCTGGTCTTAGTTGCGGCATGCAGGTTCTTTGTTGCAGCGTGCAGGATCTAGTTTCCTAACCAGGGATTGAACCCGGGACCCCTGCATTGGGAGTGTGGAGTCTTAACCACTGCACCACCAGGAAAGTCCCGTCTTATTAGTTCTTCAAGATAGATTCTTAAAAATTGTATTGCTGGCTCAAAGGGCGTGTTCTAAGTGCTGCTATTTCCAAATGCATTGCCCGAGGGGAAGGTTATACTGACACTCCATTGAGTATGTTTCTACTTTTGTTAACCCTAGATTTCACCAGGCTTTATTATCTTTGCTTAACATGATAGGGGAAAAAAAAAACCTCAGTGTTTTGTGTTTCTTTGATTTCAAGTGAGGCTAAACAGATTTTCACACATTTGTTGGCTGTTTGTAGTTCTTCTATCATTTTATGTCCTTTACTGTTATCTATGGGGAAATTGGTCTTCATGCCTTTCATCTAAAAAAAAAATTCTTTATTTTGAAGGGTAGTGGTCTTCCTGTATCATATAATGAAAATAACTCCTCCCAGATATTGATGAATTCTCTTACAAAGACCGTTTTAGAAACTGCAAAAATGAGAGATGATTCCATAACTATTGTCGACTGAAAAAAAACGCACAAACTAAAAGTTGAGAATTCAGCTTTATTTGTCAGACTTTCTGAGCAGCTGCTCTGAGGAGGTAAGAGAGGAGCCAGGATCTATGAGTTTTTGCAACAAAAACGGCACAGTCGGAACATCAAAAGAGTACTGTTAATTAAAGAAAACAGACACCTCAAGTTAATGGAGTTAACACTTTTCTATGTATGGGAAAATTCAAGAGTCTGGGCTCACTGAAATCATTCCTCTGATGTACACCTTAACTACCTAGGGCCAGGATCCCGCTTCTCTCCCTCCTGAATCCCCTCAGGGTGCACCATCAGGGGTGTCTGCAGTAGCTGCCGGCTTGACAGCTGCAACATCCTTTGTTTACTGATACGGCAGAGTATTTTTCATCCGTGCTTTTTCTTTCAGTATGTTGCAATACTTTAGATAAATCTTTGATAACAAATTTCAACCTTGGGACTACTGACAGTTTGGGACCAATAAGTCTTTGCTGGTGGGGGGCGCCTCTCCTGTGCTTGTAGGATGGCCAGCAACAACCCTGGCCTCCCCCACTAGCTGCTCTTAGACCCCACCCCAAGCTGTGACAGTCAAAATGTCCCCCAGTCAAGAGCCAGTGCTTTGGGGGAAGGCTAAGCTACCCTAACAAAGAAACCCAACCAAAATCCACTAGCACAGAAGGAATTTTATTTCTTATCTAACAGTCCAGGGGCCAGGCAGCCATGCTCCGCGGGGTTACTCAGGGACCCAGATTCCTTCCAGCGTGGCGTCTGCCCCCAAAGGGCCTCGCCATTGTCTTCATGGTCAAGGGTGGATTGCAAGAAGGTGGGGGGGTTGGGGGAGAGGGAGAATGCTCCGCCCACCGTCTGAAGGGGCACACACCACTGCTGCTCACGTCTCATTGGCAGTAACTTAGCCACCTGGCCCCATCTACCTGCAGGGAGGGCTGAGCGATGGCATCTAACAGGGCAGTGATATGCCCAGCACAGTCTTACTCTTCTGGAAGTAGATGAGTGCTATGGACTGAATATCCCCCCCCAAAAGTCATAGGCTGAATCCCTAAACCACAATGTGACTGTATTTGAGAGATCATTAAGAGGAAGAGAAACCAGACCTCTCTCTCTCTGTCCACAGCTGTACAGTGTGAAGGCCATGTGAGGACACAGTGAGAAGGTGGCCACCTGCAACCCAGAGGGAGAACATCAACCCTCCTGGCACCGTGAACTTGGACCTCCAGCCTCCAAAACCGTGAGGAAGATGTTCTGCTGTTTAAGCCACTCAGCCTGTGGCGTTTTGCTCTTGCAACCCAGCTAAAACAGGGAGAAAGTCTTTGATGGATAGTAGCAGAGTCTGACCAATTCCTGTGATGGAAGGTGCAATAGGACAGTAAGAGCTATGGGGCCTCTTTTTTAATGCAAAGTCTCAAACTCACAAAAGCAGAGAGGACCTAACAAACTCCACATCCCATCAGCCAGCTTCAGCAATTCCGGCCAGCTTCTGGCCCTTCCCTCGCCCCAAGCACACTCAGGCCCAGCGCCCTATCTGGCATTTCCTCCGTGAAGCAAATGCCCTTGTGCCCGCTACCAGGCCTCCGTGGCAGGGGAGACTCGCACTGCTCAGGGCAGACTGCAGAGACGGTTCTCAGCGTAGCAAGCACAGAGACGCATGCAAGGACTCTCCTGTACCTGCGTCAGGGATGTGAGGTCACGACTACATGCATGGAGGTGCTGCAGTCACCCTGTGACCACGAGGGACAAGCTATGAGAACTGGTAAGTTGTTGACCCAACATCTGACATCACTGAGTAGCAGAAACAGTTCTTGGCTGCCTAACTCTGGACTTTGTGTTATGTGAGATGATTAGACATCCTGGTGATCTAAGCCAGTTAGGCTGGCATTCTGGTACCTGCAGTCAAAGGCATGTTGGAAGAGGTGGAAGCAAAATTGCTTCCTGTATCTTAATGAGAAATTTCACTGTACTTGTGCCAGTTTAGCAACTTCTGCCATCAAAAGGGCATCCCCTGCATACAAGGACCCAGCAGCCAGGCTCCCCACATTTCCATGGGTGACCAGGAAGGCTGTGCGGTCACAAGCTGATGTATTGCACGTGTTCCTGCCTGTCTGCCTGGTAAGTTCATCCTACAGATGTGGTACAAGGCTGTCCTGGGACTTGCCCAACCCCAGGAGGGTTCTCTTGTGTACTGTAATCCCTAATCCCTTCATCCTTTTGAAGGCAAGGAGATGAAAATTTCAGAACAAGACTCAATTCAAAGGCAGTGTTAAGTACTAGTGTTTGTATCAACGACCTTTCACTAGGTTGTACCGCAGTAACAAAGGACCCCGAAGTCTCGGTGGACTCGGCATCACAACTGTTTATTTCTTGCTGGTGCCACCTATCAGCTGCAATGGCTGTGGCTTGGCTGTGGCTGTTTGTTCATTCCAGGGTCCAGGGTGAAAAAGCAGCCCTAATCGTGCACATGCTGTTCTCACACTGGCGGCAGGAAGGGGAGGGGTGACCCGCACAACAGCTTTTAAAGTTTCTTCCTGAAAGTCAGCTCTTGTTACTTTACAGATGCCCTGGAAGTCACAGGCCAAACTCAACATCAAGGAAGAAAGCCAACAACTGGGAATGATAGAATCTACCACCCTTCCGGAACCCACAACCAAATCAAGCAACGGTCCATCAGGAAAACGGCAAGCGACCATAGGTGTCTGGGGTCACGGGAAATCAGGGGCTTGAACCAAATGAGGTGGGGGAGGAAAGTCAGGCAAACTGTTGCCACGACCTCAGCCCAAGCACCGAGGTGGACGGTCTAGAGCTCGCGGGGGTCCGCTGCCGTCCCCAGCCCTGGAGAGCCCTCGCCCGTCTCTCGTCTGCAGCAGGGGAGCAGGTGCTTCACGAAGCTCCCTGGAGAGCAGTCCTGAAGTTCACGGCCACACTTCCGGCTGCCTCCGGATTTCTCCTCGGCAAACTCGAAAGTTCCAGAGGCAGTTCTGGGAAACGCGGCTCCCAGCTTGGCACGGGCCGAACGCTGGTGTCCGCCCCAACCCCCTAGGTTGAGGTCTGACCCCACCGTGACGGTACCTGGGGACAGGCCTCCGGGGCCACGAGGCCCAGAGGGCGGTACCCTTCGACGAGAAGGCGGCCGACGCGGTCTCACCTGAAACCGCCCCTAAGACGACAGCGGCCAACCTCACTGAGCGCTTCCCGGTGCCAGGGCGCGCGCCCTCAAGGTCCCCGCCGTCGGGGAGTCGGCGGCGGGCGGGCCCCGAGGCCGCAGCCCCGAACTTTAGGAGGTGGGACGACCGCCCGCGCCCACAACAGCGGCCCGCGCGGGACAAGGCGCGCCCGGCTTCCGGCCCGGAAGAGGCGGTGCGACCGAGGCCCCGTCGGGCCAGTCGCGCCGCTTCCGCCGGACTAGTCCCAGCCAATCCGGCTCATCCGAGCCAATCCCGGCGCGCGCCGCGGGCGCCGGCCCATTGCAGCCAATGGGAGGTCCGGGCGGCCCGGCTACGCTGGGGGTGGTGGCGGAGGCGGGAAACGCGGCGATGGCGGGCAGGCGTGGCGCTCTCATCGTGCTGGAGGGTGTGGACCGTGCGGGGAAGAGCACGCAGAGCCGCAAGCTGGTGGACGCGCTGTGCGCCGCGGGCCACTGCGCCGAGCTGCTGCGCTTCCCGGGTGGGCGTGGCGGGCGCGGGGTTCCGGGATGCCGGGGGCCGGGGAGGGGACCCAGGGGCCACGGAGGCCTCGCCGGCTCCTGAGGACGAGAAGCGAAGGCCTCCTGCGCTGAACTCGCCCTCGTTTGTCCGCGGGTCGGAGCGCGGGGACCACCCTTGTGGTCCCCGAGCCTCAGTGGGACGCGTCTGTGGTTCTGTTTTTGCGCAGCTGCCCCGCGGCTGATGTGCAGTAAAGTCACGTGTTTAGTGAGTCTTGACACATGTACACCCAGGAAAGCGTCTTCACGACCAAGAGAATGAGTGTATTTGTGACCCCTAAAAGTTTCCAGGTGCTGCTTTGTAATCCAAGTCTCCGTTTTATCTTGGGTTTCCCGCCCCCCGTCCTTGCATGGCTGTTTACCCTGTGAAGGGTTTTGTGTCATATTTTTAATTTTTTAAGGTAAAACATGGATCTTGAAAACCAGGGGTAGGGAGATGGGGGGGATGCTTTTAAAAATTTTCTTGTTTTTTTTTTCTTTTGGCCACACTGTGTGGCATGTGGAACTTCACTGACCAGGGATTGAACCCGTGCCCCCTGCGAGTCTCAACCACCAGGGAAGTCCGAAAGTGCTTTTTTGAATGTTTATCATTTTAATCTTTAAGCCAGCCAGTCTACAAATCTTATACAGTTGATCCTTGAACAACATGGGTTTGAACTGCAGTGGTCCACTTATATGCATATTTTTTTCGATAAACATACAGTACTATGAAGTCCTGGGTTGGTGGAATGCAAAAATGCAGAACCTCAGATGTGGAGGGCCGACTTTGGGAGCTGAATATCCTTTTGGTATCGAGGTAGCTCCTGGTACCAGTTCCTCTTGGTTGGCAGTTCCTTTGCAGTTGCTGCCTCCTACCTGAGTTCCTTCTTCCTAAAGCATTTTTCATCCCAGTGTGTCTGCACACTGCTGCCCTTTCTCAGGAAAAGGTCTGAACCTGTCTAAAGTTGTTGTAAAATAAAACTCAAAGTTAGACTTGGGTCAGGGCCTGGAAATTTGGCACAAACTACGAATGTAGATGGAGAGCCTGTCCTCACTTTTGTGTGTTGTTCTCTTTTGTTTTAGAAAGATCAACTGAGATTGGCAAGCTTCTGAGTTCCTACTTGGAAAAGAAAAGCGAGGTGGAAGATCACTCGGTGCACCTGCTGTTCTCTGCGAACCGCTGGGAACACGTGTAAACACCCCTGTCCTTCTGCCGCTCCCCCCTGCTTCTGTGCCTCCCCCCGAGGCTGAATGCGGCTCTTGTTTCTGAGTGGTTGAGAGTCATGCTGGAGGCTGTACCTTTACAAGGTTCTTTAGGTCACAGATCCCAAAGAGCACTAGTTAATGCTTTTTTTTCTTCTCCCCACCCCCCGCTCCCAGCTTTTTGTAATTAATAGACTTTAGGTAGTTTTAGGTACACAGAAAAGAGCCCCCCCCCATGCCCCCGTCCCTTCCTCCCCGCCCAGAGATGCTTTTATTTATGTCTTTGATGAACCAGTGTTGACACATCATTAAGTGAAGTTGAGTTTATGTTGGGGTGTGCCCTCTCGCGCCCTCTTTTTGACTTACATCATCTTGGTGGATTCCCTCTTCACCCTGCACAACTGTTGACGAAGTGCCTGTGGGGTACGCTCTCAGGTGCTTCTGTTTCCATTTACACACGTATGTAGGTAACACACATGTCATCGGAGGTGTTTTGTTTTAACGTGAATGAATGGGACCCTACCGTACAGATTACCTCACGGCTGGCTTCCTGAGGCCGCCTCCCGATCTGCACTCTTCCTCTTCTCTCCCGTCCCAGCGGCCTGCTCTCCGGAAAGGCTGCCCCACCTTGGACTGAGGGATGCCAGTGGACGGACGTTCAGGTGGTTGTGCCTTGTTCCCTCTCACAGGCAAGCTGGCACTGCTCTCCTCTGGCTTTGGCTTAGCTGGTGGTCTTGTCTGGAAAGGCCTCCCCCTCCGTGTATTAGATGAAAATGAGGGCAGGTTTACAGTCTTTAACACATCTGGAGTTTATTGACATAAATGTTGTGATTTTCGCTTTTTGTGGATTTCTAGAAAAGTAATGTCAGAGCAACTGAAAATGAGAAACAGTTCTGACTCCATTCCCTAATTGCTGTCTGCTTCCAGGACACAGGCCTACAAGTCTCTGGGCCATTTGTTCTGCCACAGCTCCCCCTTCTGATTATTCCAGCCACTGCCATCAGATTAGGTTTGCTGACACTTGGAAGTCCTTGGCTGACAGGTCGGATGCTGGGCAGCGCTGTGGCCCCTAGTACCCCTCAGGTCTCGTGTGCAGCGTGGGCCTGGGAATGGGTGCTCAGTTAACCTAGGCTGTTTTGAGTTCACCCTGGTGCTTGGAGTACTTTCTGAGAGGACTCTGGTTACTTCCTCAGCCCCTGGTTTTCTGCCCTTTTGCTCTGCTGCGTCTTTACCAGGTCAGTTGCTGGTCGTGGAAGTCATCTCCCCTCCCAGCTGCTGCGCGGTTTCCCTGGCACTGATTGCGGTAACAGCCTCCGCTTCCCTCCCCGGCTGTTTGTCAAAACCTACTGATCCTCTAGGGCCATCCAGGAATTAAATTCCTGGAAATGAGCAATGTCTCTTACTTTCCATAGCAATTTAGCAATGTTCTTCTCTACCTGTTTTTAAACTTTTTATTCTGAAATAGTTGCAATCAGTCAGGAAAGCTGCAGCAAGAATCCCCGGGTGCCCTTCCCCAGGCTTCACCGGTTAGTAACATTTTGCCACATTTGCTTTACCATTTGCTCACTCTTTTTAAAAATCAAGGGCTATTTTATGAAATGCTGGGTTTACCTGATGTTTCCTCACGAGTAGATTTGGGTTTGCATTTTTGGTAGGAAAACCCCAGAAGTGACATTGGGTCCTCTTGAGGGCATCGTGGCGGGATGCGAGGCCACTTGGGTTTCCCCTGATTAGTGAGGGGGCTGCTGGCCAGGCTCTTCCACTAAGTGACTCTCTTTCCTGTTGTAAATAGTCAAAAGGGGAACTCATAAAACCAAAAATACCCCTTTCTATGAAACTCACCTCCTAGTTTGTGTTGGTTAGTCATCCTGCTGGAGTCTGTTATTGTGATTTTCGGATTCTGTCACTTCTGCAACACTGATCAGCTGGCATTCTGTGTAAGGAAGAGCTTTCCTGCCTTCCGTGTCTGTCCATCCGTCCGTCCATCATCAGTGGGTCATAAGCGCTACTGTTAGTCGTTTCGCTGTTCAGATTGTCCCAGCCTCGGCCTGTGGGAACCCATTCAGGCTGGCTCCTTCGTCCCTTGGACGTGTTTCTGGCCTGACAAGGTATTGCGGCTTTCCGTGCCTCCTGCTTTAGCCGGGGCCAGCTGTTCTCTGCTCTTTGTGGAGGGTGGACTTCAGAGACCGACATCTGCTCAGCTTCTGCACGTGTTCACGTCCCCTGCATCTGTCTGACCCCTGCCATCTCATCCAGCACCCGGGCTCATCTGCCCCATCCTGCCCTCCACGGGCTGGTCTTAGGATCACTGCCCCCACCTACGTAAAGCCTGCCTGGGGCTCACGGGTGGTTGCAGCTCTGTCGTTAGAATGGGGGCACACGGTGCTGTGTCCAAACATCTCAGGCACGCCTTTGCCCTTCCACTGTGTTCATTTGGGATACGGGTAGGTTCATTTGACTTTGTATACAATTTTAGGTTTTTCTTTTTTTTCCTCATTCTTGTTGATTTCCGTTTTCGAATATGTAAAACATGAAATGGTTCTAAGAGTCAGAATCATACAGAAAGGTCACTGCCCTGCCCATCCCCTTTCCATCCAAGCCCTGCCTTCCCCTGTCGGTAAGCAGGCGCATTCACTTCTAAACAAAGTCAGCAGATGCCTGTTGTCTTGACTCACCTTCTGTCTGATATAAAGGCAGCCACCTGTGTGCCCAGTGTGCTTTGCTTTGTTAGCAATGTGTCAGGAGGGTGTTTATGGGGCATCTTTCTCGCTCTCAGTACAGTTGCACCTTCTGTGCTCATGCCATATTCTACCAGTGTTCTGTTCACAAGATTAGGTAGTTTTAAGTGTTGATAATTTGCACTTAGGAATGACGCTGTGATGGGAATGGCGTCTCACTGTTGGAGGTGCCCCCCGCTGTGCTGTTCTGCGAGCTTCTCACCGTAACTCTTTTGTTCCCCAAAGTGCAAGCAGTGCTTCTGGCCCATGCCAAGCCTCTGCACCCATCCTGCTAAGGTCTTGGGGCCGGAGGGTGGTGGGGACCTGCTGCCTCCTGCCGGAGGGTGTCCTGGCTCCCAGGTGGATGCAGGAGCATCCTTCATCACCTCCGGGCCACGTCCAGCCTTCCCTCCCGTTGGCCTGGCCCCTCCTCTCCCCGCAGGGCCTGACCCTTCCACTCCCGGACAGCCGAGCTGCCTCTGGACAGCTGCCGACGCCAGTTGTATTTATCCCCTTTAGTGGAGTTGTCTTTTCGTGCTGGGCTTTGCTGGGAGTGAAGATTCAGAGCCTTGGGGGATGAAAGTCAGGCTACAGATTGCTGCCCGCGTGTGATCCCTTCATCATGTTGGCTTCTGAATTGAATTGTGTCCTCAGGGTGATTTGAACATGAGACTTCAGGGCCTATGAAGCCAGGACCATGGCTCACAGGCATCCTCTTTTTTGTAGGCCGCTAATTAAGGAGAAGCTGAGCCAGGGCATCACCCTGGTCGTGGACAGGTACGCCTTTTCTGGGGTCGCCTTCACCAGCGCCAAGGAGGTGAGTGCAGCTCCGGCCCCAGCGCGTGGTTTGTGCCTGGTGTGGACTCAGTGTGGTCCCCATGGGCACAGAGCAGTCGCAGCACGAGTCTCTTCATGTCACTGCCTCTAGGGCTTTGAGATCCCCGTGTTCGCCAGGTCAATTTGGTCTTTATCGACAAGAAGAGAAACCTTTTTTGTAGCTACAGGTTGTTTTCATAGATACAACTGCATTTTTCATTTGGCCGACACATTTCACATCATACATTTACACATATGGTCCATCGGCAGACCTGTTTCATCCAGCGTCTTGTTTGCGGAAAAGACGGTGAGAGTGTCTGGGGTGCTTTCGTGCTGTGTTCCTGACCCCCTGTTCCAGGGAGCTGCTGTTTCACAGGCATAATGGCAGTGACTACACTGCCCTTTTTTCCTGCTTTTTATTTTAAAATTTTCAAACATATACCAGCAGAGAAAATAAGCCACCCAGCACCGTCACCTGCCTCAGAAGCTTCTGGTCTCTGTGACCCCCAGACACATCATTAGTCCCTTCATAAACATTTTGGTGCACATCCCCAAAGCAGCTTTTCAGAAACCTCGTCTCACCCATTCCAGAGTGTCATCATTCAGTCAGTGTGCAGAGTTCCCAGTGCCCTCAGGAGCCGTTTGATCCGTCTTGTGTTTTTACAGTTCGATTGAATCGGAATCCAGCCAGTTAAGGTCCATTCTTGAAATGTCTCTTGAATCTCTCGATACATAGGTTCCTGCATCTCTTTTCTTCCTTCCGCTAAAATTTTTGAATTTTTTTATTTTTCCAAGTCGCCTATCAAGAGGCACGGCGTGCCTGGTTATCTCCTTTTTGTGGTAACCGTCTTTGATCGTGGCTAATGCACGAAAGGCTGCAAAATGACAGCCTTCTAACCCTGCCAGTCTTCCCGCACGAGCTAGCTGGGTCCTCCTTTAGGGCAGTCCCCCGAGGTACCGGCCACACAGCTCCATCTGTGAAAAGCACGCAGGCTCGGGCAAGGCTGACGGGCTCCCTTCTCCAGTCAGGGTGTCCCGTCAGCACAAGTCTCTGAGCCCACAGCTCGGTTCTAACCCTTTTAAATCTTCAGAGCTGTGTGGCTCTCTCTTCCTCTAGAAGTGGGGACACTATTTTTAGAGTTGCGAGGATGAATGAGAGGGGACATGCAGGAGACAGCACACGGGGCGCTGGCAAGCGTCTCCAGGATTGGGGTCTTCCCCTCTCTGTAGAAGGGAGTGATGCCCTGGCTCGTCTGCTGCCACTGCTTAGCCAGAGGGTGTGGGACGCACGCATGATGCCCTTGGTCCCGGGCCCTGAGTGACGCGTCCTGGGCCCCGGGGTGTTCTGTCCACTATGAACGTATTCACATGTCAAAACACAGGAAGGTGATGTGAGAGAAAGCAAAACGCTGGAGACCTAAAGGACAGAGCTGCTGCTGTGTAAGAACTCTCCCTTCAAACGTCAGCTCGCTTTTCCCCCTTTTCGATGAATTTTGAAACCAGGAATGAGACCGCATTAAGCTGGCTCCGTAACGGTTGGGTTCTTCGTCTCCAGAATTTCTCCCTGGACTGGTGCAAGCAGCCAGATGTGGGCCTCCCCAAACCGGACCTGGTTGTGTTCCTGCAGCTGCAGTTGGCAGAGGCCGCCGCGAGGGGCGAGTTCGGCCGTGAACGCTATGAGAGCAGCCCTTTCCAGCAGCGCGCCCTGCAGTGCTTCCAACAGCTCCTGGGAGACTCCAGTCTGCCCTGGAAGGTGGGCGCGGTGCCTGGGCCCTCCTGCGGGCAGCACTTTCTGGTCCTGGGGTTGGTGCAGGACGTGGGTCGGTGCCCTGATGCTGGCCCAGGGCAGGGCCGCACGGGCAGCGCCTCCAGAGCAGGCGTCCTGCGCGGGGAACCCTGTGCCGAGCCGGCCGTCCAGCGGGCTCCCGTCCCCTGCTGGACATCAGCTGTGCGAGGCCAGCACCCAGAACGCCAAGTCCGTGGGTGTCAGGCAGCAGCACTTTAGCTCCCGTGTAACCGGGTTGAGCGTGGGGCCTTCGTTGACTCCAGGCGCCAGGCGGCCCGCACCCACCACAGCTGCCACCTCCCTGCTCTCCGTCCCTGCGGCCCGGCGCCCGCCCACCTCAGGGCATGTGACCCGGCGCCCCGGTCCATCCTCCCTGCACGTGCCCACCTGGCACGGCCGCTGCTCCTCTTACTGCTGGCAGTGTCCTCGCCACTCGGGCAGGTCCCAGGGTTTGGGTTCTCAGTTCTGGCACCTCATGCTTCTCCCTCGCCCTCCAGCTGTGCCTCCCCGCTGTCCTGCTCTGGCTGGTGCTGGTTTGTGGCCAGGGCCGGGGATCCTCTGTGTGCAGGTCCGAAGTACACCCTTGACCTTTCTGTTTGTCTCCTGTGTGCTTGGGGGTGGAAGGAAGGGCGTGTCTTTCCCCAGATGGAGGCTGCAGCGCAGTGCCTCAGATCCCTGTCATCTCTCTGCTGGCTGGTTCTATCAGCTACTGAATTCCAGAGTTTTCCTCTGGTTCTTCTTTTTTTTTGGCTGTGCCACGTGGCCTGTGTGTGGGATTAGTTCCCCGACCAGGGATCGAACCCCTGCCCCATGCATTGAGAGCACTGGACCGCCAGGGAAGTCCCTCTCTGGTTTTTTTTAACTAGTTCTACATGGTGTAAGTTCCTCTTGATTTATACTACATTTCAGCACCTGCTAGGAACACGACAAGACTTCACAGCATCAGGAACGTGAAAGGGGAAGGCCAGCGGCGCTCTCCTCTCCTTCCTGCACTGACTGTTCGTCTTGTCTCGTTTCCCGCAGCTTTAAGAACTTCCTTTAATGTTCCTGTAGGGCAGGTCTCCTGGCATAGCATTCTCAGCTTTTGTTTATCTGAAAATTTATTTTTCTTAGTATTTTTCAAATTTTTAAAGCAGTCACAAACTTACAGGAAAGTTGTAAGTACGATACAAGGAACTCTTCCCCAGGACCATTTGAGAATAAATTAGTACCTGACACCCCCTCCCTGTCAAAATGGGGCCAGTCACATGGATCCGCTCCTACTGCCTGACCCCCCGGTCCCACTAGTGACCCTTGTAACAGGACGTGGTTCACAGGCACACCTCTCTGGCCTCCAGCCTGTGACTTTCTCAACCTTGACTTTTTTGAAGGTCGCAACAGTCGCTTTGTAGCCGAACCTCAGATTGACTTTGTGATTGGATCAGGTCGTGTGTCCTTGGTGGGCTGTTGCTGCCCCGTCACGGGCTGCGCACCCTTGGTGTGTCGCGCTCCAGCGATGCTCCCCTTGAGCTCTGGGTTAAGCGGTTCACGGTGAAGTCACTCCGCGTCCCGCTGTGAGGTGGTGCTTTGAAACCACGTAAAAACCTCGCTGCTCATAGACTTCCAGTTCGTTTATATGTTTACACTTGCACGGACTCACGTTTGTACCGCGTACTCACCAGCAACCTGTTTTCCTCGCAATTGGAGGTGCAGGTTGGCCCAGGTCTGGCCCCTGGGTGACCCCCACCCCAGCCCCGGGTCCTTCTGATCAGTTCCCCTCACTTCCGGCCCTTCCCGGTCCCGGCCCATTACGATCGACCTCTGGGCTCACCCTGTGCTGTCCCGGCCCAGCGTCCCGAGGTGTCCCTGGTTCCATTTTATGGAGGAAGAGATAGAGGCGGTTATCTGGGCCCCCAGAGGAAGAGGGGTGTCCACGTACGCGTCCACACGGGAGGTGCCACGCATCGCCAGCTGCCTGGGATGGTTCTGTGCCAGAGCTCTGCAGCTGGGCTGTGGCTGGCAAGGTGACCTTCAGGCGGGGCCGGGGGGCCCGTGGGGAGGCGGTATCGCTCCTCATAGACTTCGTGCCGCGGTTACAGCTGTCTGAGCGTGTCTACACCCTGGAGCTTTCCAGAGTCTGCTGCCCCAGAGGCTGCCTAGAGGCTCTTAGTGCCCAGAGCTGAGCCTTGGCTGAGGAGGGGGCTCCCAGGCACGCCTTCCCTCATGTGGCCCGGTATGTGTCCCTCCCTCCGGTGGAGAGTCGCTCCTCTCGTGGGCTGGCCCCCCGGTGACCGAAGAAGGTCCTTGTGTCAGTAAGGTGGGGCAGCCAGCTATCGGGATGAAGCCCATCGTACCAGGGAGAGGAGTCGGACCCAAGTTGGGCTCCCGGCAGAACCTGCGGTACAGGCAGGTCCGGGCGCGGCCGTGGAGGGGCGGGAGTGGGCGCTGCCCTCGCCACCTCTGCTGGCGGCACCGGGGTCCCCTGGAGGTGAGCGTCTGACCGGGGCTGCAGCTGGGGGGCCAGGCGGCTCGGTCCCAAGGGCCCGTCCAGCTCACTGTCCCTAGGCGAGGCCAGGGCCGGGGGTCAAGGACCCCAGAGGAGCGGAAGCTGTGCCCTCCGGAAGCTGCCCCACCCGCTGAGAACATTAACCTGTCTCTCCCCCCTGCCCCGGCCCAGACAGTCGACGCCTCCAGGAGCATCGAGGATGTCCACCGGGAAATCCGTGTGCTGTCTGAGGGTGCCATCCGGGCCGCTGCACACAGGCCGCTGGGGCAGCTGTGGACCTAGAGGGACAGGACCCCCGTCTGCCGCAAGGCAGGAGACGCGTGTGCAGTTTCCGGGGGGGCGAAGCGGGACTCCCCAGGGAGTGGCCTGCGGGGAAGCCTCTCCTGCCCTCACCTGTGCCCCGAAGATACTAATAAATTAGTTATTGTGTTTTGCTTACTGAAGTTTCACAATGACTGTGTCCAGGCAGTTCCATCAGGGTCGCTGATCTCCTCGTGGATGTCTTCAGACACCAGTAAAGATGAAATGAAAACAGTTGTGGGCAGCCCCGGGCCCAGCAGGCATCAGCCGTGCCTGGGCTCTGAGCGCCAGCCTGACGTGCCAACCTCACAAGGCCTGACCAGTCTGTGTCCGAGTGGCAGCGTCCCTGTCTCTGAGCACACCCAGTGCTCGCTTTGCTGTTCCCTCTGTTAAGGTCTGAAATGCAGGTGGCCCTGCAGTGGGCGGTGGGCAGAGCCCCTGTCTGCAAAGGGGCTCAGCGCCCTTCTGTGCGTGCCAGGAGACCGGATTCCGAGCAGAAGAGGATGTGACAGTTTAAAGTGTCACAAGACAGTCTGACTAGGGCTTGGGAAAAACCCGCATGTGGCCAAGCGGGTTCCAGGTCAGCGGTGGCGCACGCTCCCCGCACTGGGCAGGGTCCCTTCTCATCCAGGTTGAATAGATGTGGCTGCCCATCCACAGGTGCTTGGCAGGTGGGGGCAGTCTAGCCCTCAAGGGAGGACAGAGGACACAAGCGCTGGGGGTGGCTGGAGCTGTGCACTCGGATGGCTGTGCTGTCAGTTCACAGCGGGTCCTGCCTGCTGATGGCACCAGGCTGGCCTCGGGCGCCTGTCCGTCTGAAGGGCCTGGCTGTGTCCACCCCGACGTGCAGCATGCACTCGAGGTCAGAACTCGAGGCCCGTGACCCAGTGACAGAAACAGTGGGAACCACTCGCAGAGTCAGACCACTTGTTCTGCAGTCCCAGGGTCACCCGCGGGTGTGGCCTGGCAACCCTCCCATCACCTGCCCTTTGATCTTTCACAGGACCAAGGCCACGTCCTAGGTGAAGAAAACGAAACGTGGGGCGGGGGTCTTGAGAGTACCGGGCCGTCAGGGAGGCTGCGTCGGCTGTGGGCCTGGGTGGGATGCCCGGAGCACGCTTGGGCGGGCCCCTGAGCGGGAGCTGGGCACCAGACGAGAGCTCTCTGTCCCAGGCCAGGAGCGGGGCCACGGAGGCCCCAGCGCAGACCCTCTCAGGGCTCGGCCGTGCAGGCGGCGGGGGCAGGCCGGAGCCCAGGGGAGGAGAGGCCAGAGCTGAGTGGGGCCCACGGGCAGCTGGATGGTGTGAAGACAGAAATGGCCCCAGAGACCACAAAATTAACGGGCCGCTGAAACTTTCTTCAGTAAGCCCAGCACGGGTTTTAAAACATCTTGCCAGGGCTTCCCTGGTGGCGCAGTGGTTGAGAGTCCGCCTGCCGATGCAGGGGACACGGGTTCGTGCCCCGGTCCGGGAAGATCCCACAGGTCGCCGAGTGGCTGGGCCCATGAACCATGGCCGCTGGGCCTGTGGGTCCGGAGCCTGTGCTCCGCAACGGGAGAGGCCACAACAGTGAGAGGCCCGCATACCGCAAAAAAAAAAAAAATCTTGCCGGGGCTGCGTGTCCTGAGGCGCCCTGACCCTCTGGCCTCCCCTAAAGAAGCCTGTTGGGCCCCGTGGCCGGCAGAATGACGGCCCCCAGAGACATCCTCGTCCTGACCCCCGGAACCTGTGAGTAGGGCGCCCACCTGGCCAAAGGAACCAGGAGGTGGGAGGCCACCCTGGATCGCCCGGGAGGCGGGAGGGGCCTGGTCAGAGGAGACGATGCCAGCTCTGCAAGGGGGGCGGGAGTTGATCCAGGGGACGCGGGGGCTCCTAGGAGCCGGAAAGGACAGGTAGCCAGTTCCCTGGGACACAGCCCTGTTGACCTCTGCCCGCCAGGGCCCTGAGAGGTAAGTGTTGTCTCGGGCCCCTGCGTGTGGAGGGCGTCACAGCTCAAGAAGCCAACGTGGCCATTTCTGGAGGCCAGGACTCAGGTTCTGAGCCATGGCGCTTCCTGCTCTCCTCTGGCCTTGGTCCCCTTGCACCCTAACTGGAGGGTGGGTGGGCAGGCGGAAGCGGTGAGCCGAGTGGGCTGGGGTCGCTCCGACTGTCCCACCAGGACTTCCCGGGCAGGGCGAGAGGCCCTTGTTCACATCCTTGGTGACCCGCTCGGGGGTGACCGGCTGAGGCACGGGGCCCCTACAGGGACGCTGCCCAGGGAGCCAACACCCACCCGGCACCGCAGTTGCTCCCTCCCCGTCTATGAAAGAAGGGCGTCTTCCCAAAATCAGGCTCCCCTGCATTTTTTTTTTTTTTTTTGCGGTACACGGGCCTCTCACTGTTGTGGCCTCTCCCGTTGCGGAGCACAGGCTCCAGACGCGCAGGCTCAGCGGCCATGGCTCACGGGCCCAGCCGCTCCCCGGCATGTGAGATCTTCTCGGACCAGGGCACGAACCCGTGTCCCTGCATCGGCAGGTGGACTCTCAACCACTGCGCCACCAGGGAAGCCCCTCCCCTGCATTTTTTGCTTTCAACGCAAACCACACGAGTCAGAGAGAGTCGAGAGTCAGCGTCGCGGAACCAGGTCCAAATAGGAGGGTGCCGCTCGCTCAGGTCTGGCAACGAACGAGCTCAGCACGTCCATCCACCAAGTCCTTCCTCAGAACCCTCGTGAGCTTAGAAAACCCTTGTTCTCGTTCTTACCATGTCCAACTACAGCTCCGAAAAATTCTCCGAGAAAATCAAGACACAAACGAACCTTGTTTTCTATTGAAACTGTTATTATTTGCCATTAAGAATCGCGCACTGTACGGCTAAGAGTGAGCGCTCCTCAGTAATCCTCTCCCGACACACGCGAGACACAGCCCCCGCTGCTCAGGGTGGCCCCCACCTCCGCCGTCCGTGCCGCCAGCAGCGGCGCAGCAGAAGGAATGGAAACCTTCTCACCCAACTCGACCTGAAGGATGACGGGGGGATGAGGGGGAGAGAGAATGGGAGACGGAGGGAAGCACTCACGTTGGCAACACCTGGGGGGCCGGGATGCCCTCTGCTCGCTCGCTGGGCTGGTGGGGGCTCTGCAAGGAAGGCCCCCGGGGAGAAGGCTGCCACCTCCTGGGCTCCCAAACCCCCGCCTGCGCTCCCTGGTGAGACGAAAGCCACTGCGTGCGGCGGTGCCCGGGGCCCAGAACACAGGTTGAATGAAGGAGGCGGGTGCTGGCGTCCGTCCAGAAGGTCTCCAGCGGGCACGAGGGGCAGAGGCACAAAGCTGAGGTTTGACCCTCCGGCCCCAAACCATCCGAAGCCTCGCTGACCGGGAGGTGGAGGAAGGCCCCGGGGATGCTGGAGCGACAGGCAAGCAGCAGCTCGGGGGCCCCACGGCCTCACCTGCGGCTCTGGCGGCGCGTCTGTCCTGGTGCCACCTGCACGACGACGTCTTTGGGCCTCACCGCCCCCACCCCTTGCTCCTCTCCTCCCAATGCGAGGAGGCCCGGGCCGTGGTTCCTCAGCCCCTTCTCCCGCCGCGATGGCCCTGGAGGCCGCGTCTTCGGAGCCTGGCTCAGGACACGCCCAACAGAAGCCATGTCCGTCACGAAACTTCAAACAGGACTTTAATTCCAAAGCGAACCCGGGCCTGGAGCCCAGGAGGAAGCGGGGCCGGGCAGGGCTGGCAGTGTGGCGGGAGAGCCCCTCATGGGTGCCTGGCGCTTGGGTCTCCAGCGGCGCGGGCCTCTGTGTGGGCGGCAGGCGGGCGGGCGGCGGCGGGCGGGATGAGATGCGGCGGCCGAGCGCCCCTGCGGGGCCAGTGAGACCGTCCCCCAACTGCAGAATCCTCAAAGGGACAAGATTTCAAAGTCTTCATCTTCTGAGTCAAAGAATCTTTCCAGTCGCTCTACGTCAGAAGAATCTAGAAGGAACACGACAAAACCTCACCAGGTGCCAGGCGTGGCTCAGCCTGGGGTGCGGGCCGAGGAGCAAGGGCCCGTGTGAGCACACCCGCCCCACGAAGGAGCGGTCCTGCCGAGCGCCGGACCGGCCAGGGCGGCCAGGGCGCGGAGGGAGGTCGGAGGGTGCCCGGACCACCCGGCTGAGGCTCCCTCCTCCCGGGCGGGGTGTCCGAGCAGGTAGGAGAGGGGTTCTTGCCCTGTGAGCACAGGGACAAGGGCCTGGGCGGGTGAGGGCATGTGCAGCTGGGGGCAGACACGCCCCTCACCAGAGCCCAGAGGGAAGCAACGGGGGCCAGGAGGGCAAGGGTCCCATCCCAGGAGGGGTGCCCACCCCCTGCACCAGCCAGGTGTGGTGGGGCATCTGTCCTGAGTCTGGCGCTGGCACCCCGACCCCCGCGGTTCCCGTGAGATGTGGTCTGTAGTCCTCCCCAAGGCAGTCCCTATGTGCTCAGGGCCCCCCGGTGGGTCCCCTTTCCCCACGTGCCACGTACTTGATGCACTCTGGGGGAGGCGCCCCCAAGCCCAGAGCCACCGGGCAGTGGGGACGGAGCCACCTATGCCACATCAGCCAGGAAGCCTGGCCTGGTCCGGCTCTCACGACCAGGGGCCACGGGAGGAGCGCGGGAGGGCCCGGGCGGGCTGCGGGTGTGCTGCCCCAAGCGGGTGGGAGGAGGGAGGGCAGCACCAGCAGCGTCCCTGGTCCCACTCACGAGGGGCTGCCGAGGGGCCGCACAGCGTGAAAGGTCAAAGGCAACTGGGACGGGACCTGGGGAGGTGGAGGGCAGGGCAGAAGCATCACGCAGGCAGCAACCCCAGCCTCAAGACAGGGGACGCCCCCGTCCCCACCTGAGACGAGGCCCTGGGGCATCCGGACTCACCTAAGGACAAGTTCAGGACGTCAGGACAGGCCAAGTGGGAAGGCTGCCGCTCCACCAGCTCAAACATTGGCAGCGCGCCTCCAAGGAGGGACAGCTGTCAGCAGGACACAGCGCGTCAGGGGCCCCGTGGGCGGAGGGAGGCGCCGTGCGCAGGCAGGAAGCCCGCCACCCCTCACCACCCAGACTCGGGACTGGAAATCCCAGTGAGCCTCCAGCAGAGTCTGGCCCCCGCGCTTTGATCACAGCAAGGACGCACCTGGCGTCCAAAGACCAGGCAAGGCGCGCAAGACGCGGTGCAGCCGAGCACCAGCGAAGCAGGGGAGGAAGGACCCTCAGACCCGCACGGGGGCGGGGCCCCACCAACCTTTTTCACTTGCTGGCACCAGTCGTTAAAGTCGTCCTCGGTCCCACAGAAAAACCCCTGAAACCAAAGCCAGCAGTAAGCGGAAAGTGGCACACACGTCAAACCCGCTGGCCCCCGTGCGCGTCCTGGACGTGGTGGCCACCGCACACCTGGCCCCCTTCGCCTCTCCAGCCCCTACGCCCCTCTGCGGGCTGCGTCCATGGCTCCACCCTCGCCCTCTGCCTGGACTGACCGGGGAGTGAGCCGGTCACAATGACAAGTCAGGGCAAAGCAGAGAGCTCGCCCCTCCCCGTGCCCCTGGGGCTGGGCCGCGGGCCTTAGTGGCCCACAGCATGCGGCACAACGGGAATAAGCGGACCCCTCCCGAGGGGACACCAGACGTGTGGACCCCGTCCCCCTGGAGCTACCGTCTGCAGGGCTCCAGGGTTGGGATGAGCTACTGGGAATGCTCAACCCGCCACGTGGAGAAAAAGAAGCCGGGGAACCAGAGAGGCACTCGGGGCTCTTCTCAGGGCCCTGGTGTGAGAACACGCGGGATGTGGCTGGAAGACGGAGGCCTGTTTCCCCGGAGCAGCCATCCTCCGCGGACACGTGAGCCAGGATGCGCGCTCCCACCTGACCTGATGTTCACGAGCTCACAGCGGGGGGGGGGGGGGCCCTCCTGTGACAGCGGAGCCCCCACGCGCCAGCCTGCCGCCACCGACCTCAGGGCGCGACCGAGACCCATGGGCAGTGCGTCTGGGGTCGTCCCTTCTCAGGGCCGAGTGCCTCGTCGTGTCCACAACTCAGTTAATCACTCCCCTAGGGGTGTTATGATTCCTATAGGTGTTTTTGGCCTCCTTCAAACCTATTTTGAGAACAACCAACAATTCCAGCCGTGTAATCAGAAGAGAGCAAGCGAGGAGGTTCATTCCTAGGGACCGCCGTGCAGACTGGGCTACTCTAAAGAGTGAAGACAGACCAAGAAGCCCCGCAGGGGTGCTGCAGGGCAGCGACGCGGGACACTCTCGCGCGCACACGCCTGCCTGGGCTGCACCTGAGGCTGCCATCAGCCCTTCGTGCTCCTTTGAGTTCTAAGCCACGTGAGCATAATACGTATTCCAAAACGCTGAGATTACAGAAACGGGGATGCTTTCCTTCTCATCCTAAAGCAGCAGCAGGACTGGGCACAAATGCCTCGGGACACCCGGGCACAAGCGCGCGCAGCTGGCGACAGCGGGACCAAGTGGGGGACGCACCACGGCGATGGACGGGTCGAGCTCTGCGATGCTCATCCTGCTGGGCGGGTGCTGGCAGTGGAAGCTCTCGTCCGGGATCGGGCAGTGCTCAGCGGCCTGCAGGGCTGGCTGTGTGGTGTGAGGGTCCAGGTAGATGAGTTCCTCACCTGGGCGGGCAGCAGGCAGGTCAGCGGGAGGCGGACAGAGCTGCCTCACCACAGCCACCAGCGCCACGCGGCTGGACGGGAAAAGGGCACACGTCGCACCGGCCAGGTGGGGGCACACTGCCTGTCAAGTGGGGGGGGGGGCTGCCCGAGAGACCACGCCCCTTCCTCCGACATCACTGCAGACCCCACTCACCCACGTAGCCGATGAAGTAGCGGGCACTGTTGGGCTTCCCTCCGATCACGCCCAGGGACTGGGGCATCATGAAGCAGTGCTGCGGGGCGGAAGACAGGCCGGGCCACTGAGTGAGGGGCTTCCCGCTCCCCCTGCAGCGCCAGGCGCGGACAACCGCAGACGAAGACCAGACCCACAGGGTGCGGGTTCCGGACGCCGAGGCTGCAGGTCCTCAGGAAAGCCCCGGGCAGCCGGAAGGGACAAGGGGAGGCTGGGGAGGCGCAGACAGGGTTGGCCCAGCCTGCACACACGCCGGGCGGACAGGCACGGGGAGTGGCCGGCGCACCGCGGGGGCGGGGGGCGGAGATGGAGACGGGAGGCCAGCAGCTCCACGTCAGCAAGAGGGGCAAGGGCTGCGGGAGGTGGCAGCAGGGACGAGTGAGCTGGTGGGGGCCGGGGGCCCACAGGGCGGTCAGAGGGCTGGACCGGGCAAGACAGCGACAGCTGGTGCTTTCGGGAGGACGCGGGGCCTCAGCCCCCCAGTGGGCAGGGAGGACAGGCGGGAGGGCACCGGCCAGCACAGACCCACCTTCAGGGTCTCCGCGTAGGCCGCATTGATGTCCGTGAGCCCCAGGCGCAGCGGGACCAGCAGCACCAGCGGTCTCCATGGCGACGGCCTGCTGGCGACCTCGGGCCCAGCCGGGAGCCCGTTACAGCGCGGCTCGGAACCTGCAGGAAGCGCTGCGGCCCCGGCACAAGGCAGGCTGCTCCCGCACAACCTTCCTGAAAAAGGGACACATGCTTTTATGGGCTAAACGAAGTAGGCAGAAGTTCACCCAAGAGAAACAGTTACAGGATTTACACTGTTAACAGGCAACAAGTATAAAAAAGTCAAGTACTTGAAGTACACCTCGAACTTGGAAAATAAAGTATAACACTAACCCTGCTGCCCAGAGGAAAAAAAATAAATTTGCACATTTTCTATGCGTTTAGCTTAAATTTTTTATTGTGAAATAAAGCATACACACAAAATAACGCAAGAAAACATTTACATGCATCCTAGAAGCAATAATAAAACAAGCACCACAGAGCCACCAGCCTGGTGGACGCAGCACTGACCCAGGGCCCCTCTGGTCCCCCCTCAGCAAGGACAGCATCGAGCGATAACTTTTCTCCTTCCTTATTCTTCTGTCTAAACACACTGGGTAATCCTTCAATAATCGGATTAACTACGGGGTTCAGTGGTAGGAGAGAGCCACTCCAGTACCTCAAGCATACCAGGCACCCCGTCCGTGGATCCTAAACACCTTTCCCCACTAAAAGGAACCAGGGGGAAAATGGCTGATTCCAGGGATGGGGCAGGGAATGTACCAGGTGAGCCTGAGTCTAGTTAATGCCAGAAAGAGAACACTGAACAACAAAAACGACAGGACTCTGTCAAAGAAGCAGCCGAATTTGGGACAAGGAGTAAGTAATGACCATAAGGGATAACACCTTGAATTAAAAACAGAATCCACGAAGCTGCTGGCTCTAAAAACAGGTCTTCCAAATGTAAATAAGGCGAGGGCAGAGGGGAGAACAGAGGGCTCTTCCCAAGAAGAGCGCCAGCAGATAAACTGGAAGGGGTGCACGCACTAGAGAGACCACCGTTTCAGACCCGACGTAGTAAATCCTCAGTGCGTGTAACGTATCCCTTCCAGATCACTCGCGAGCCGCTAGGCACCAGGGGCGCATCCTAAACAGGTGACTGAGGCAGCGCTACTGACAGGGAGCAAGCCGTTTCTGGGTCGCTCTACCGTGGACACCGCCACCAGGCACGCTCCTGGTCAACAGGCCCAATCCAAACCTAAACGGGCCTGTGTCAAGAAGGCTCCATAAACTCCAGAAGGCCCAGGCACATACATCTCCTCCATCGGGCTGCTCCTGAGGTGTGTCCTTAAACACACCTGTGGCCTAGTGAGTGACGTGCTCCTGAATCTCCCAGCCGCTCCAGCAAAGTAACAGAGCCAAGGAGACGGTCGTGGGAACCTCCAACCCATAGCCAGTCTGTCGGAAGCACAGGTGACCACCTGCACTGGCCACTGGGGTCTTAAGTTGGGGGCGGGGGGGCAGTCTGTGGGTCTGATGCCACCTCCAGGTGTGCAGACAGGGCCAGAACTGAGCTGAACTGCAGGATGTCTATTCATCTTCACTTTTTATGATCTGGTCACCAGTATTAAAGGTACGTGTTTTCTCCTGAGTTCAGTACACATCAGATTCTGATATGTAGTCTGTAAACTTGACTCTTTTTGACCCAAAAGCTAAAACAGAAGTTTGACATTTCTAGGTAGTAAGAGTTTGTCCTTTTTTCTATCTACTCTGCATTAGTTTATATAAATGTCCCATGGACATTTTTGAAAAGATATGTTCTGCTACCAGAATCTAGGATTTGACACATGTTCCACTAAACTCTCTTACTGTATTATTCATATCCTTGTAACTTTATTTTTATATATTCGATCTGCCATACTGTCTCTCTTAATTTACTATAAGTTTTGCTTCGCTGATCCTGAGGCTCTTTTGTGATGAGAACATTTTCCTTGCTGACCAGATGGTCACCACTAGCGCGGCCCCTCTGGTGCCTCTGGAACAAGCGCAGGGAAGCAGGGCTGTCGTTGCTGAGCTCGGGGCTCACTGCATCCTCGCGTGGCCTGTCCCATACAAACGCCCTGTTAGTAAGGGGTGGGTTTCTGGCTGCACCAGGCCCCCATTTGTAGTTTTCTAGCCCCATTAGCATTGTCAACATGTCTAAATCCTCTGCTTTCCATCAGTAGACCTCATGAACCCAGGTACTCCTCAGAATTCTAAACACTTCCAGTAGCGCCTGGCATGGCCGGAAGACAAGATGGCCAGGGCCAGTCTGAATCGCCTTCTTCGTGGCGCATCAGGGCACACAGGGCCTTGCAGTCGAACCCAGCACACAGGCGTCAATTATTTGTAACGAAGACACAGAAGCAGCCTGGGCACCAAGTGGCCTTCCGCTCAGCCTGGCCGGCACCGCCCTCAAGGGCCCACGGGCCAGGCAGGGAAGCGAGCTGCCCTGGTCCCGTCCGCCACGACACCGCGCTCTGGCTCACTTACTGATGTCCTCCATCACCACCGTGTTGTCCATCGCTACGTGAACGGCCAGGGCGCTCCACGTGTCGAAGACGGCGAGCTTCCTACCAGAGAGGGCAGAACACACTGATGAGCCTTCACAGCTCGAAGACCTGTGGCCTCTGCGGGCCGCTTCTTCTTGCCCGGGCCCCATGCTTGCCACACCCAGCCGCCACCGTGCAGGGCAGGTCCTGTGCAGGAGCCTGCCGGGGTGCCACTTCCCGATCAGGCTGGACACGGGCAACAACCAGAATGTGAGCCCAGGTCTCGGACGCTGCCTGAGGCAGGCCCAGCCCTGTCGTATCCCCCAAGGCCCCTGAGCCAACAGCCGGCTTGAGTTCTCACAGAGAACCTGCGGGTGACAGAGAGCCCAGCAGGGAGTCACCGTGCTGGGTGGGTCACTGTGGCCGAGGAATATACGGTTCTGAAAGAAGAGTAGATTCCGCGACCGAAGGCACGACGGGAGGGCCTCTGAGCTCACCTTAGGGGCTGTGCAGGGGCTCCCCAGGTGAGAGCGCACCCAGCGCACCTGCGGACACGGGTGGAGGGCGGAGGCCCCTGGTCTCCTGGTGGGAAGGCCAGAGCGGATGCCACGTGCAGGGCTCCACTGGCTATCTCCCTCCCCGCCCTCCCGGGCTCACCGAGGGCCAGGTGGGCCCCCGTGCTGAGAGACACGGACACACAGGAAACCAAGTCCCAGGAGAGGCTGGCGCTCCAGGGGAGCTAAGTGCCTGGGGAAAGCACAGAGCAGGGGCAGAGGGGAGGGCGCTCCTCTGACGCAGGTGCAGGGAGGCCTGGGTGGGAGAGGCCTCGGCGCAGAGGCCCGGGGAGCAACGTGGCAGGCCTTGGGGGGCGCTCCAGGCGAAGGGCACAGCACTGTAGGGGGAGGACAGGGCCGGCACACTGGCCTGTGCCTGCCGCCCTCCCGGGAGCAGCGGGAAACCCCAGGACAGCTGAGAGGAGAGGAACAGATGGCCAGCGTGTTTCTTGAGTATGTGACTCTGCTGCAGTTTGGAGAGAGACGCCAGGATGGTAGAGAGAAGGCGGCGAGGGGGGGCCGGGGGCAGGGGCGGGGGGGCAGAGAGCACTGCTCAGAGCTTGGGCACACGCGGGTGGGCTGTGCTGAAGGGAAGAGGGGTCTGGCGTGACCCCAGCTTTTGGCCTGAGCCCCTGGAAGGGTGGTGCTGCGTTCCTGTAGGAGCAGTGGGCTGCGCTGGAGCAGAGGGCAGGGCCAGCTCTGGGTCTGGGCTATTAGGTCAACATGCCCCTTGGGCATCTGAGGGGCACTGCCGAATAAGCGTCTGGTTGTGAGTCTGGAGTTGGGACAAATCAGGAGCTGCGCGTGCGCAAACAGGAGCTGAAAAGCCGCGACCAAAGGCGCGAGACAAGCCCGCAGGGCTCAGCACTGCCAGCGACCAGATGGACAGAGGAGGACGGCTGAGCAGCCCAGGTTTCCAAGGAGCGCGGCAAGCACCCACACCGGGGGCTGCCTGCAGACAGCTGAGTAAGTCGGGGCTGAAACTCGGCCTTGGGACGTGATGATGGAACTGACTGTGACCTCGACCGGGCTGCTTCAGGGCAGCGGGGCTGGGCCAGGACGCTAAAGGGCAGTGGGGGCTGGAAATCCCAGGGGCTGGGCAAGGAGACACAGACACAGTGGGCTTGGGGATCAGCTGGAAGTTGGACAGGAAGCGAAGCAAGTGTCCTAGACCCCAGGAACTGACCCCAGCAGCAGGTGAGGAGGCTCACGCTGGGCCCAGGGTCAAAGGGAGGCGCCCACGGGGACTCCTGCAGCGCGGGAGCAGGCGGCAGAGGCGCGAGGCGGACGCGCGGGGAGCCAAGGCTGAAGACAGCGGTCTCAAGGCAAGGGGATGGGCGGGAGCAGAGGCAGAGGCCCAAGGCAGCCACAGGCTGCCTGCCTGAGTGCCGTCACCCCACGACCACTTCCCACTTCTCAGGCCACCAGACACCATGGCACAGGAGGGGACGCGAAACACAAGGAGCAAAGGCCCGATCCAGTGGCTGCATCTGGATGAAGGCATTCAGCCTCACTAGAAACGGAAATCCCAATTCGGGAGACCACCGGCACGGTCACCTCTGAGGACCCTCCTGAGGGTCCTGAAAAGAGGACGAGACCCCTTATTTCGTTCAGCAGCAAAGACTGAGGCAAGGCTGAGCACCCCGGACACCCGTGCCGCCCCGCAGGGAGGGCAGGAGCGTGCTCGGCACCTACTTCAGGACCTGGGCGACGGTGTTGGGCCCATACCACTGGCCGATGGACTTGCCCTCGCCGACTCCCATTTGTGCTGCAGGAAACAGAGCCGGTCAGCGGCACACGTGCCCCGCCACCCCCACACCCCTCCCTGCGCCTCACAGAGGCCGATCCCAGCACGTGTGGTGTGAGGCGCGCGTCACAGGAAGCCTGCCTTGGGCACGAGCTCCTGACTGGCACCAGGACGCGTCCTCCCAAAGGGACAGACTCCTCCTCAAGATGTCCCCTCCCCACCGACCTGCACTGGGCAGCAGGACTGGGGACATGACCCAGGCGAGCGAGTTCAGGGCTCTACCCGCACCTCCGTGTACAGGTGGAGACACGACGCTCAGAAGCTGGATTAAGACACAGGAGCGCCCGGACTGCCGGCCGGAGCCCGGGAGGACCAGCCTCCAAAGCCACCAAGTTGGTGTCCAGAGACGGGGCGCCTCACAGCACTTCACCACTGGCCCAGGGCCGTCCCCACCCTGCTGGCCTGTGCCTCACAGCACGCCAGAGCTCTCGGGGACCCGACGCCGCAGCGTCCTGAGGCATGGGCCCGGCGCGCTGCCACCCCCCACCTATCTGGTGGATGGAGTAGCAGCTGTCCTTCCTGTCCAGGAACGCGTGCAGGACGCTGAAGTAGCTGTCCGGCTGCCTCGTCCGCCGCGTCCACCTCCAGTCTACGGGAGACACAGACGAAGTTCAGTTTCACCAAAATACAGGCAAGAAGGTTTCGTTTTTCTAAGGCACTCAAGGCACTCATGGTATCCAAACCTCTCGTGAACCTTTCTAAATTTAAGAACCGAGTTCTCCGGGATTTCAAATACACAGATGCCAACACATCAAGACAAATCCATACAGAAAGGAGAGAATGGCTCAGTAGTTTAAAAATAATTTCTACAAGACAAACGTTTACCAGCATTTCTTTAAAGCCCCTTTCTCTAACCAACGAGAACCACTGGGTCGTCGCTGAAGGAAACCCCAAATCCTAAAGCGTCTCGTGGTGACCCACTCCCGCCGACCTGGCCCCACCACCCTCCTGGCTTCCTGCAGACGTGGCCGCCCCAGGCTGACTCACCTCGGCCCAGGTGCCGGCACACCAGGGCTTGGGCAAAGATCATCTGTCCACACCGCAGCATGCAGCCCCAGCCCGTGTCCGAGGTGGGGCCGGTGCCCCCTGCCGTGGAGGACAGAGAGAGAGAGGCACTCACCGTCAGACCGAGGCCAGGAGCCCACGCACGGGTCACCTCCGCGTCAGGCGACACATGCCACGTGAACCTGCTCACACCAAGGCTGCATTTGCTGGGAAGTGAAACGTCCTAACAACCCCCTCAAAATGGGCCAAGACGTGAACAAGTCACAGAGAGAAAAGAATGTCTGCAAACATGGAAAGATGCTCAGCCTCATGAGTAATGCAGAAAACGCCGTCCACCGGCCAGGGCACAGGGAGACTCTGACGCTGGGCACCGCGGTACCAGGTGTGCGTGAGACAGGCCCTAAGATGACAGGAAACAGCGCTGAGACCACGCGGGCCACCGTGGGGGGGCTGCATCCTTTGCCCGCCCCTCCAGCAGCCCCTCCCGCACACACGCGCAGGGGACAAGGCCCGCCTCCTGGGGCAGCGGCGGGATTGGGGGAGGCAGAGCCAGGTGTGCAGAAACAGCCCCAGCCACCCACCCACGCCCCACACGGTCGGCTCCACGCGGCCAAGGCCGACACAGACCACACGGCCGGGAAAGCCACCACGCTCCACCCGATGGCTTTTCCAAACACAGGGCTGCCCTCCAGCCTGCCCTGCCCCTGTGGGTTCAGACACCTATGGGTTCAGGACGCGGTAGGTCAGGTGTCTGTCCTCCTGACCACACAGTGAGCCTCACAGGCCAGGCGACCCCACCCCTGAGTCCAGGGCCAAGTAGGGGTGAAAGGAGAACTTTTGCTGGATGAACCAACATTTCCCGAGCATGTCTGACAAGCCCTGTCACTAGACACTAACCCTGGTGATAATGGCCACACCCCCTACCTTCCAGTGTTCCCAGACGTCGAGCTCTGGGGGACGGATGGAAGCACATCTAGCAGTGGGACCAATCGAGACAGGCCGCCAAGGCAGGGCCGCCTCCTGGTCCCAAACCTCGGCCTGGGGTTCTCCGACTGGCAGAGGCCAGGCGCGGAGCCAGGCCCCATCTGTCCACCTCCAGGGGTACCGCGAGGAGAATCACTTCAATGGAACATGCTTTCATATCACGTGAAACACGTCACATCCACCTTCAGCTCCCACCACAACTAGGTGTGGGAGATACTAGAAAAGGCAACGGGTACGGAGCAAGGGCATCCCAACATCCTGGACCAACAGCAAGAAGCAGGCTGTACAGCTACGACCCAGGACAACACCAGATGCACAGGCACACGAGCCCCTGGGGAGCAGCAGGCCGCAGCGTGACCATGACGTGCCACACCGCTTCCCGCCCCGTTCTGCTCTACGTTTCCAATGCCGGTCGTGACCCATTATCCAGATTTTAGGCCCCAGTAATAGAGTGTGGCTTACACTCAGAAACAGCACTGCCTCAGCAGAATCAGGGGCCCTGGGTTTGGAATCCAGCTCTGCCACCACCAGGCGCAAGACCTCAGCCGGTTTATTTAACTAGGGTTGCCTCAGGATGACACCAAGTGACAAGTACTTGACACACTGAAGTCAAAGCTAGAAACCTAAGTTTTCCTCTTGAATCACATGCACTTCATCCCACGTTGTAACAGACAGTACTCACCAATGGCCGGGAAGTTCTTCCTGTATGTAAACCAAAGTCTCGACGCCACATCGGCCAAGATCTCGTCCTTTTCTAGAGAGCGTTCGAGAGAAGAAACATGCACACACAGCCGTAAGTTTCCAGGGCACATGTTACAGAGAGACAGCAGATAACTACCACCACCAAACAGTCCTTTCTGCAGACTGAGCACGCAGAGCACAGCAGGCTCCGGCAGGGCTGGTACCTGTGAAGATGCTGTACTTTCTACCCAGGATCCAAAGAGGCTCCGAGGTTTCGGGGAAATCTTCAAACTCAGCAAATCGGAGAGTGTCGTAGGTCAGAGTAGCTATGGAAAGCAAAGACACACTCTGATGACAGTTCTATGATTTCATAAAACAATATCAGAGATAATTTATAGCATCTCCGTACAAAGAGCCCACGTGGAATTCTGTATCTCAGTGCACCAGCCACACCACTACACTGAGAAATCAAACACTCGCGACGTGGCAGCGGCCCTGCACCCACTTCCTGAGCCTCTCAAATTCAAGACAGAGTCATTGTCTGGCAGACCCAAGGATGAGAGACCAGCTGGGGGCCAGGCCCAGGGCACAGAAAGGAGGGGAAAAAAAGGCACCTGATTTAAGCCCTTAACTGGTTTAGATTTAACTCTAAAAAGACAAAAACACAAGAGCCCAAACCTTTATCTCTGTACACGAGGGCGGCCCCAGATGGCACAGAAGGTCGAGCAAGCTCTCCTGGCCGTCCCAGGGCTCCCAGGCCATCCCGACTTCTGGGTTAGGAGCCGTAATGCAGTGAGCAGCAGAGGGGCAGAGCGCTACTCCTGGGAGGGACACTGACCTCCCGAAACTAGTGCAAAGCCCTTCAAGGCCCCGGCTGCCGCGAGGCCTGGAACCTGGGGGGTGTACCCCGACTTCCTAAGGAGGTGCCGTGTGTGCAGCAGCGTCCACCTGCTGTGTGTCCAAGGCCTGAGCGCCTCCTCTGTGAGCACCCCCTTCCGTGTGGCTTCCACAGAGAAGCTCGAGAGGCCGTGTCCCTACCGCCCTGGAGCTCCGGCAGAGGACACCCTCCCTCTGCACACGGCCCCGGAGGCGACAGAGCTCAGCCACTGCCTGCGAGGTGAGGGGCACACAGTGTGTCCCGGGTACCCCATCTCCCCAGCTGCTGCCTCACCAGCTCCACAGTGCTCTCTTACCCTTCACCTGCACCCAACTCTTTGGAAAATCAAAGATATTAAATGCGTTTCCCCCACACCGGAGTTTATTTTTCAACAGCCCTACCTTTCGGTAAAAATGACATATGCTATTTATAAAAAAAAATAAAACCCCCGAAGACTACAAAATGTAAAACATCACCCTCAGCTTCGTGCCCAGCACTGACTCTCCTTCCAGAAGCCTGTATGTGTAGATCCATAAATGAAGCCACGCCGCACCTGTGGTTTCTTCTTCATCCTTTTCCACGTGGTGGTCACAGCACCCCACCCAGATGTCTCAGGGCCTCACAGTGTCCTGCTGCACGCACATCCCTGCCAGCCCACATCCCACAACCTCCCAGCTCTGGCCTTCACAGGCTGGAGGCTCCCGAGCAGGCACTTAGCCTCTTGGTGTGGAAAGCCCCTCACCCATAAGACGGAACATATAACAGGATGCCCTAGCAGCGCAGCGCTGAAGTGTCCCTGAAACCCTTCCCATGAGGGGCTCACGAGGAGGCTGGCAGACAAAAGGCTCCAAGGTCAGCTGGTGTCACTAACATCAAGGACGAAGACAAGCCATTCTACTACATCCGAAAGGATTAACTGGATGCACAGCAAATTCACAGTCACAGGGCTGGGATAGCAGCGCTCACTGAACGAACAAATCCGCTTCAACAGAAGGCCCTGTGTTCACCGCTTCAAGAATGCTCAAACTGGGACTTCCCTGGTGTCCAGTGGTTAAGAATACGCCTTCCAATACAGGGGACGCAGGTTCGATCCCTGGTCGGGGTACTGAGATGCCATATGCCGCGGGGCAACTAAGCCCGCGCACTGCAACTACTGAGCCCGCGAGCTGCAACAAAAGATTCCCCATACTGCAACTAAGACCTGACGCAGCCAAAAATAATTAATTTTTTTAAAAAAAGGGATCCTCCCCCTTGCAAAAAGAAAAAAAAAATAGAATTCTCGAACGTTGGGAACCCAGACCCAGCTCTGCCTTTTTTCTTTTCACCTGAAATCCTACAGGGTCAGAGGAGTCCTGTGCTTCCAGAGCAAGCTCTGCTGCCCAGAGGGCTGGGTGCAAGGCAGGGAACATGTCTTTCCAGACATTCTTTTCTCTCTGATGTGTCTGCTTGTCCACACCTCTCCAGACGATGTCAGCCAGGCCGCTTTGGGATCGGGGTAAATAATTTAATGTCCAAGTTTCTCTCTTCCCTTTTTTACATAAGATTACTTGTTTCTGCAGGTGATTATAAAAACCGAGTTGAGATGAGTTAAAGTTCTACCTTTTCAAGGAGCTGAAAACATCATGTGTCTCTGCTGCCCCTCGAAAGCCACCCCACATCTTCAGAAAGCACAGCCTTCTCTGACCTCGAGGCTTAAACGATACGTACACTCAAAACCCACAAAGATGACTCCAAGAAAAAAGCACGCAAACAAGACCTGATTTCAACTGACAGCACTGTGGGACTGTACCTCTCACCCTGCTAGACCGAGACCCCAGGAGACTGCAGCCTTGAACTGAGGGCAGACATGCCTTCTAAACGCTGGAGGCTCTGAGCGACAGAGGGACGCGGCACACATCAAAGGACTGTTGAGACACTCCTGAGACACCTAGCTTCCCACAGTGAGAAAACTACCACCACGAGGGAGACAAGCAGATAAGGAAGAGAAGGAAACAAGGCTCGTTCTGAAAGCCAGGTGACGACGGCCGGCCGCCCTGCAGTGGAGGGGATTTTTCACCTCCAAAGACACCACATGCAAAGCAGGCACATCTCTCAGGGTAACGAGCCAACTTTATAGGCAACAAAGCCAACTTCAGAGGGAAGGTAGTAACAGGTGTCCTACCTATTAAGTTAGAACACATCACCGAGCTTCCTGCTGTAACTAACAGAATGACGGCTGTGCAGTCTCAGCCTTTAGAGTCCTCACTGCGTGAGGCACCTGAAGGGAAAAAATGGGCAAGGTGGCAGCCGCAGGGCCCGGCAGCTCAGGTGCAGCCGGGAGGTGACAATGCAGGTGGTCCCCGAGTCCCTTGGGCCCACACCTCCCTGCTCCTCCTGATGGCAGGACCATCCGAGGCCTGCCCCCTGTTGGGTGCGGGTCACACCTGCCTCTTGAACCAGCCGCGGACACCCCGCAGGCCCTGCTCCCCTCTCCGGGCCACACGGGGCACCGGGCAGAGCATCCGGCCAGCGCGCGGGGCCAGAAGTCCGTCGCTCCCCCCGTGGGAACCCTCCGCGCCTGTTTCCTCGCTGGTAAAGCAGGAGTGGTGCTGCTTTCCTCGAGGCTCACGGGAGGAAGAAACACGTCAACACACAAGAAGAGCTCCGATCCTCACTGGGTGGCGATGGGCAGCGCACACGGGGCATCGCTGAAGCGGGTAGGAGACCTCGTCTCCAAGGCCCGCGACCACAGGGAGGTGCAACACCCGGGACGACGTCCACCGCCCGAGTGACTTTACCAGACCCGGACCCGGTAACGGAGCCCGATCGCAAGGGCAGGGCCGCCGGCCACTTCCCGGGCTGCTTCACTGTCCTCAGGCTTCCACCCCGGGAAGCAGCACAGAGACGGACCTGCGGCGGCTTCAACCAGAAGAGCGGTGAGCGGAGGGCTTCTCGTTCCCGGGCCGCTGTCAGAAAGTCCCCGCGGGCCTGCGCAGAGGACGGGACCAACCCTCCCTCCTGACACCCACCCGCGAGGCCACGGGCCGGGGCACCTGGACCGGACCCCCAGCTCCCTGACCTTCGGCTCAGCCTGTGTAACGGAGAAATGAAAGACTTTTCCGAATTCCATTCACCTCCAGTGTTCAACTTCCTAATTTGTATTAAGATTTGATTTTGGAGACAGAGAACCCACACGCTAGCTGTATGACACCCGACTCAAATCTCTAAGCCTCAGTTTCCTCACCCACGAAATGGGGAGAAGCTGCCAGCTCTGCCCAGTGGGCTGAGAGCACAGGACGGGTTCCAGCACCGTGGGCAATCCCCAGCCATGGCTCTGAGCACCTCCTGTGCCTCTTCCTCGTGTGATCTCAGACCTCATTACTTACAAGAGGAAACTAAATTACCCCTTCCCTGAACCAAACAACACTTTTGTTTTATCATCGGTATTAATTTAGCCACAAATATGTATTCATGTTTGTGCAGAACAGAAAACATTACAGAACACCAGTCCAGAAAAGACTCCAACAGAAAAACTAATACTTTTCCCTTTTAAAACTAAAGTTCGCAATCACTGAGCTTCACAGAGGCTGACCAACACGAGGAGCCCACCCCTCGAAGGTTCCTCATCGACTGTTCTCAGGCTGACCAGCTCCACTGGGGACTGAGGCCAGCAGCCTCCGCACTCCGCCCAGAGGGCTACCTCGTCTCACACCACAGCCCTGTGATAACCTCAGCACCTTCACATCCGACATCATTTCATTTGAAGTTCACACACCTCCTGAGTTAAAAGGAGCCCAACTTCCCAAAGAATGCCAGTCTCCAGATGCCCAGATAATGATTTTAATTTTTTTAAATCTTTTTTTAATTTAATTTTTTTTGTTATTAATTAATTAATTAATTTTGGGCCACGTTGGGTCTTTGTTGCTGCACACAGACTTTCTCTAGTTGCGGCGAGCTGGGGCTACTCTTCATTGCAGTACACGGGCTTCTTATTACGGTGGCTTCTCTTGTTGCAGAGGACGGGCTCTAGGCACGCGGGCTCAGCAGTTGTAGCTCAGTAGTTGTGGCGCACGGGCTTAGTTGCTCTGCGGCATGTGGGATCTTCCCGGACCAGGGCTTGAACCCGTGTCCCCTGCACTGGCAGGCGGATTCTTAACAACTGCGCCACCAGGGAAGTCCCATGATTTTAATTTGAAATAAGATGACACACAGAAGAAGCAAGACAGGCACCATCCACCTTGAGAAAGAAGCCTTTTAGAAACACCTTTCCCACCTGGTCACCTGGGTCCCAAACGCCTGATTTTCCACCTCTTCCTCCCTAGGGTGTCCCTGATCACACCCAGAAGAGGAAGTGGAAAGCCTTTTAACAGAATGGCAATTCCATTTTTAAAATGTTTCAATTTAATGTTATTAATATGATAGAAAATAGCAAACTGTGCTCCATAAATGTAACCACATGACAGTCCCAATTACATAACTCAACCAGGGAGAACGACAAAAATCATGCACCATTTTTTCTTTTAGAGCTAAGTGTAATGTACCACATTTCAAAGACATTTCCTCAAAATGCTTATGCTTCTGAGAGACTATACTCCGTAAATACATATATTATATATGCTTTATGAATAAAATTAAAACAAAGAATCTTCCTTTCCTTCAGAAAATGCTTATGTTTAAGATAACAGGTTTGCAAATAGTTTTTTCAAATCCCAAATAGTTTATATGAAAACGCTGGTGGTTCAGTTCCGAATGAAAAAAGGAAGGAAGGGAAGGAGAATGGAAGGGAAGAAAAGCTGGAACTTCAGCGGCATGAGAATACTGTACACGCCGCTTCAGTGGCCACGCTGGACAGAACGTCCACAGCGAGCCCTGCTGCCCTGCAGTGAGCTGCCCTCATCAGCCACACTTGACTCCAACACACTGCATTTCCGTTACAGACTCTGCAGCCCAGGAACGTCTACAGGACAGGGATGTGTGCGTTAACACCAATTCAAGTTCTGCTTCTTCAATGGCCAGCCACATACCAGACACAATGTAAAGTACCAGAGATGAAGCACAAGACACCGGCTCTGTCTTCAAGGAACAGACAGCGTGTTGATTTAAGTGCCAACTGGAGCGGGGTGTTTTTGGCTGCGTTGGGTCTTCGTTGCTGCGCGCGGGCCTTCTCTAGTTGTGACGAGCAGGGGTTGCTCTTCGTTGTGGTGCGCGGGCTTCTCATTGCGGTCGCATCTCTTGTTGCGGAGCACGAGCTCTAGGCATGCAGGCTCAGTAGTTGTGGCTCACGGGCTCTAGAGCGCAGGCTCAGTAGTTGTGGCACACAGGCTTCGTTGCTCCGCGGCATGTGGGATCTTCCTGGACCAGGGCTCAAACCTGTGTCCCCTGCGTTGGCAGGCGGATTCCCAACCACTGCACCACCGGAGAAGCCCCTCGAGCGTGTCTGAACGGACAGTGCTTGGGGCCTGCTTGCCACATTCAGACCTCTATGCAGCAGCCCCAGGGCCCCATCCCCAGCTCTGTCTCTCTCCTCCCACACTCAGACCCTCAGTGACCTCATCCAAAGTGGCCCCCCGCACACTTCTACCTCCAGCCCCACCCTCCTCCCTCAGCTCCAGGCCTGCAGACCCAAGGCTCTCTGGACGTCACAACATGGACATCTAGCAGGTACCTCATGGTCACCATGTACAAGACCAAACTCCTAACAGCTCCCCACCAAGCGGGATCTCCCCACGTCTCCCCACCTGAGTTTCTCAGCTCAAGCCATAACCTCACCATCTCCAGCCCCTCCCTCTCCACCCCGCCCTCGCCACGTCCCACTGGTACAGTCCCACTGTCTCAACCTGCAGAGGCAGCCAGAGGTCAACGCCCTCTCCCCACGCTGACCGAGGCCTCCAAGGGTTCGCGCGCAGCGTACTGCAACAGCCTCCTAACTGGTCTCCTGGCCTCGCTGCTGCCCGTCTGCAGGAGAGCAGCCCGAGCAAGTCGCGTTACTCCTCCTCTCAAAGTCTCCGAAGTATCTTCCGCCCGCTCGGACGCCCTCACCACGATCCAACAAGGCCTCACCTGGGCCGCATCGCTGCTCCGCCTTCAGCTCTCTCACCCCCACCCACTGTACCCTGGCCTCACTGGCCACTGGATGCTCCCGGAGCAGGACGCCTGCCCTCCCCTAGCACTGCTTCTGAGTCCTGGTCAAAAGTTACCTCTGTGGTGAGACCTTTCCGGGCCATCCTGGCGACTCCAAACCCCTCCTGTTTGACCCACATCACCCGCCCACGAGCCACACCGTGGGTGTCATGTCTAGCATGTCAGCCAGCACACGGTTTTTATCTATTTTGTTCATTTCTCTAGCCCCAGGGTCTAGAACAATGCCAGACAGAAACCCACACTCAGTAATAAGTATAGTTATTGAACGGATGACTATAAAAACAACCAGGAACTGCATAACATCTGGCAAGGAAGGCAGAATCTGTAAGGACTCCAGGGATCAGGGGAGGCTGGACCATTAATCCTCCTAAAAGGTGGTACAGCACCACAGCAGAAAGAAACTCTCCGCAACACCCTGCAAATGTCATACACGTTTTTATTAGCACCAGGAGAGGCCTTCAAACGTGAACAGCTTTTCTGCTTTGAAGCACTGATCTGTGTCCCATGAGGTGTCGCCATGTGGCTACTCAACTTTAACGTGATGGTTTTCACGTTTAACATAAAACGACCATCACAAAACTGTGCCTTCCACCCTAACCGAGTCTCCCAATGAATGCTCTTAGGCTCCCGAGCAGTCATAACCTAAAAGAAAGTAGATGACTAAGTAATTCTATTCCTTCCCTGACCCCGGGCCTAGTACTT